CTGTCGTACGCAATACGTAGCCTTGAGCGTATATTCTTGACAGCAACCTGCTCCAGTTCTGTCTGCTTTCTCTTGACATAGGCAGGCCTGTCCCGACTTCTTACGACGCTTGGTTGTCTCAGCGGCGACACATCTGTAGGTATACTATGCTGCGATTTAGATCTTCAATTGCTTCTTTAGCTGGCACAAATATGTCAGGGCACTGCTCTGAGCTTCGCATCGAGATCTCCTTAGTGATGTGCATGAAGCAATGGTAGCACAGGTAGTCCGTCGCACTCACTTTGGTGGAACAGTCAGGCGGAAGAATTTGCTTCAACGAGTTTAGGTCCAACTCGCCAACACTTCGAAAATTCCGCTGCTTTGGTATAGTCTTTTTGTGTTTGCAAAAGTAATCTGCACAAAACACTCGTTCGGAGCTCCAGGACGTCTTCATAATGTATACATAAATAATAGAAATTAAACCCCAACTGATGGCATATAATTGCCAAGTGAAAGAACTACTGGGTGCACAAGTGACAAGTCCGAGGCTGAGGAGCTCACTCACTGCAAACGTACATTTGAAAAGAGAGGTCACAACTGAGGCTGTCGGCAAAGCTTGATCCACGTCAAAGGAAGAAAGAGGGAAAGTCTCCAGACAAAAAATTGTGGTCAGCGGCCTTCGAAAAAGACTTTCCGGAATCGCACTGTCGTCCCTCCACTCGCTGATATGAAAGCACCCGAGCTTCTACCACGTGGTTCATGACACAGCCTGAGCCATGTCGGCGACCGGTTCGCGAGGGGTTGGCAGTGGGGTTACGTTGATGGTCACTCGGATTAGCCCTTGCTGTACTGAGCTACCGCCTGCAGTGCCTTATCGCCGGCTGGTGTCAACAACGAGAACACACACACCCTGTCTACACCAAAACTACAAGCGTTCACCGCGCACGCGTCGCCACCGCTTTTAAGCTTTTGTGAAATTGCTTTCTTTTGCCACGGAGAACCGCCTTATCTTAACTACGCGCCTGAAATCCTTCCAGGCGGGCGTACACAATATCAAGCGTTTTGAGAAATGCCCGTGGAGTAGAACTATGGGAAAATTCGGAGCCGGCGATGTCGATATCGTCGCTGTTGTGTTAGTACGCCGTCGCGTACTGCAGTCCCCCGTTGGGGGAGGGGGGGGGGGGGGGGGGCGGTCTTACTACGATAACATGGCGACAGCGTTTACACTCTATGTATTTACGCGAGGCTCGAGTATTTGGGGATAATGCTGCCGGTTGGTGTGCCCCTTTGTGCCTGATATTATCGCCCGTGACGCCAGCGAGTGAGATGGCGACAGGCATGACTGCTCAGTAAGCAGGCGTCGGCGGCCATGTTTTGCTGGTTGAAGCGATTCCCCTTGTCCTTGACAGCGAGCGGGGAAATGCGAAAAAAAGATTGTATCGGCCGTTTTGCCAAAACTAGCGACAAATGTCGTCTGCGGTTTCCGGCAACTATTTTGCCATAATCGTGAGCTTAGCGAGGAAATGATTTTTGCTAGCCACAGAACACTACCACGCAGAAAGGGAATGCTCGAACATGTTTTTGTTCTGGATATATATCAGGGATATATATGAGAGAGAGAGAGAGAGAGAGAGAGAGATATGAAGGTAGAGCGGAAGAGGGAATAGCATATAGTGTCGCAGGAGAATAAAGTAAACAAAGTTCCTAGTGGCCGATGGCTGCATGATCTTTTCTCGGATCACTAGTCCGTAATATGATACCTCTTCGTACACAGTAGTTTCTGCCGAAATAGAGTATAACAGGTTACCTAAATTTAAAAAAAATCGAGGGTGGTGTTTTTTTTTTATTTGCATCGGAATTTTTCTTTGTTTGATTTTTTTTCCATGTTTGACTAAATATATCCTAACTATTGTATCACACAGATACCTTAGTTATTTTTTAAATATTAGCTATATATTAGTAGAATAATATCTGCAAATTATATCATAATGATTAAATTATTTCATGAGATACAGACCTCCAAAGTTTGCCATTTGTTGTTCGAGCAGGCATGTTTGTCAATTTTTAGAAAAATAAATAAATTTTAAATAAATATGATTACTTTATATTACAAGCAAGCTATACCCATAGTTTGCACCTAAAACGTATTAGAGTTCTCCTAATTTTATCGCTTTAGTTATTCACTCTCGAACGGGCCCCCTCCATCAGTGCGCGTTAATGCAACTGTCCACCACCTCATGCCTTACGATTTTTCCTGTCCCCAAGTATTTTTTCTAGTCAAAACTAAGTTTGGATTCGTTCATACCAGACACTAGACAATAACATATAAAAACATCAGTTGATTTGAAAATGTCGACTAGCCATCCTTTGGTCGATCTTATCTGAAATCACCCAGAAACTAATAGTAAATTTTTGTTGTCTGCACAAAATGGCGACGTAGACCATACTAACTGGGCAAAGCCAGGTCGTCAAATATCGCTCAAACTGTCAAATATCGCTCAAACTGCTGCGCCATAATGACGTCACGCACGTAAGCAACGGAAGTGAACTGGTAATATCTTGCGTCTGATATTATACTCAGATAATTGTAAGATGGCCGACCTCATTGAGCTTTAGCTCACATAGCATCTCCTATTGCACCGCAGTCGGCCTTTAGGCTTCGAGCCGTATGCTGACACCATATGTTGTTTGTGCTACCATATGTCATGCCACAGCGGAGGGTTTGCGAGGGGAATCGTTTGCAACTTTGGTCGGTCATGCAACATCCTGTTACGATTTTCAAACGATGAGCCTCAAATGTGTTCTCCCCTCTTCAACCACAAAAAGTGCCGATCCGTTTGCAGAAAAAGGACAAGAAGGCTGTGAATATAAGCAAATTGAATTGCCTTTGCATACTTGAGGACCGTCGCATGTCAAGCTACTGCTGAGCAAGATCGTGGTAGAGGAAAATTAACAGAAAACTCACGACCACTTGTCGGGGGAAGTGCAGAAGTACTGTGTCCTATGGCTGCACCTGCAAAAAATGAACGCCCCGAAATTGATGTGCTCATAATTGAGAGATCGCACGCGCTTGTCTCTCCTTGCTACTGATTTTGCGGAGTTCTGGGACCAAATCTGCTTTAGATTATGATTATTTTTTTTTTTTTGCTTCACTTTGTTTTATTACAATTCTAATCCACAATTAGGTTCCATAACCACATTCTACGACGAATGCGAGCCGTAGCTGGAGGAGCAGCCTGGTTAAAATGGTTACCAGACAACAAATGACCTGCATATGTTAAAAACTGAAACTGTATCCCAGTCATGTGATGTAGTGGTGTCCAACTAATACAAGGGCACCAATAAATAATAGCTTTATGTTTTTATAACTACCAATCTTTTATTTGAAGATTAAATGAAATGAATCTGTTAAACCTTTTTACATAGCTCTCGTGGTGTTTTATTGCTAATGCCGCCGAGGAGTGTTGCATGGTTGTTTCAAAAAGTCCAAGAAACAATTTTTAAATACTGTTTATAACATGCAGATGCAATATTTCACTGTAATACTTCGAAATCAACATCTGTCTGGTTCAATAAATACCAGAAAAAAGGATTTGGCAGATACATTTTGTACGACTCCTTTAGATTAAGCAGTTGCAGTAAGCTTAATGCTGGAAAGAAAATGCCACTATAACTACCTTCTCTTTTAAAATTTTTAAATTCTGTTCAGTTTGACATTTTTCGCGGCATAGTACACTTTTAACACACAATCTGTTGTATGGCTTGGCCCTACCAGTTTCTAGTAACACTCCTTTATTAATTGTAAAAGTATCAAATTGCTGTATCAGTGTTAATCTAAAACTCGTTTTCTAAATGATCAAACACGAATCCCAGCCAAATGTTGATGCAGCCCTCGGGCTGCATTGCCAGCACCTGGAACATTTCCAACCTTTGTATAGCTAGGCTGAAGGCCTTGCAGAATATGTTATATTGAATCTCTGCACCATCCATGGGATATAGTTGCTTATAACATTGTCAGAATTAATTTAAGCCCACGGTGAAATAATGGGGCATAAAAAATTATGCAAATGTAGACTTGGGTCAGAAATGTTCTAGGTTTACCCCACGGGTTCTCAAGCATGGATGTGTGAAAAGGGGGACCTACCAAAAAAAAAAGGGGGGGGGGGTTGAAATGAGGCTACTAATTGCAATGTGAAAAGGGCATCCTTTACTGGAGAAATGAGGAGCATCAAGTAAAAGGATGAATGGAGGGATAGATGATAATGGCTGCACCCTTTAAATGGGTGGTAGCTTGCGCCATTTAGCCAGGGTCAACAAAAACAATTTTATTTTCAATAAAAAAGAAAAAGGGTGGGGTGGTGGGGTTGGGACAACACCACCTAGATAAGAAAGCTTAATTGTGGAATTTTCTTGCGTCACTAAAGAAGGCCACCGTAGGCCAGAGATTGGACACAATCACAGCGTTTGGCTAGAAGTTGTGTTCTCATTGATTGGACACGAGTTCCAGCCAAATGCTGACACCGTAGCCGTGTCTAGTCTCTGGCCTGCTGTGGCCTTCTTTACTGACGCAAGAAAATTTTCCACTTAGGCTTCCTTATCTAGGAGATGTTGACTGAGGGTTTAGGCAAGGGCTTTGCGGCCCCCAGCGGGTCCGCAGTGCTCCTTGAGAACCACTGGTCTACCTGATAGGTGGCACCTGTGTGCCAGTGTTCAATCGGTTGCATGAAATCTTAATGCAATCGGCCACGGTCAAAAGCACATGTGTGAATCGGCCTTTATGATATGAACACATTTGTCAGTCATTTTCTGGCAGCAGCCATAAATGATTTCGGTCCTCGGAAGCCTTTACACGCAGGAGTAAAAATAATTGCACAGTTTCCAGCCATAAGTTTAAAATGAAGATTCCAAAGGCTCCAGATGTGAAAGGGGGGGCAAAAAGAATGAATAGAACATCAAGAACAATAGGACATACCGTGCGATTTAGAGGCAGCCGACATGATAATGGCTTCATTCTTCTGCAGGCAGGGGTGCCCAGGCAAGACATCAGCGTCGACCGGCGGCGGAGCAGCAGACAAGATGGGTGGCACCGACAATGTATTTGGTGCCGTGGACTATGCAGTGTTCACTGTGATGTTAGTGGTGTCGGCGCTGATCGGCGTTTACTACCGATTCACGGGCGACCGTCAGCGGACAGCACGCGAGTATCTGGTGGCGAACAAGAACATGTCTGTGGTACCAGTGTCCTTCTCGCTCATGGCCAGCTTCATGTCAGCGGTCACCCTGTTGGGAGTGCCGTCGGAGAACTACTTTTACGGGACGCAGTTCCTGTTGATCAACGTGGCGTACATCTTCGGCACGCCCATTGCGGCCTACGTGTTCCTTCCTGTCTTCTACAAGATGCAAGTCGTCAGCGTTTACGAGGTGAGGAATGTTGGGCTTAGAGCCTCGAAATAAGGTATGCTTAGAGTACCCCCTTGGGGGGGGGGAAGGGCAAAGATGGGACAGAAGAAAGGAGAAAGAAAGCAGACGAAAAGCTAGGTGTGTTCGTTTTGCCACAAGTTTTTCGACTGCTTGTCAACTTTATTTCTTTTTGTAGGATGCATGACGCTAGTGCTTTTGTGCAAAATAAAGCTAGAAAAGAACTATGCAGTGTGTTCAGATACGGACAGTAATAGGGGTGTCGTGCCTATTTTTAGTTTCGAAATTAATGTTTTGTGTAGATATGAGGTAGCAGAACGCGTCCAGGCAACTAAACAGACCTTATATTTGCAAAGCATTACCTTGTATTCGTAAAACAAAAGTAGCATCAGTGTGGCGATTTCATTGATTTTCCCAATTGTTTGCAGACACAACTTTGAGGGCCACAGGAATAAAGAAAACATCTTTCTATAACATAAATATTTTGATGTATAAAGCCTGCCAACTGGTCTATTTGAATTAGTTAAATTTAAGTTATATTTAAAGTCAAATATGACAAACTTGGCCTCTTGCACGACTCTTTAATAGTTAAGCATTTTTCAGTAGCGCACATTAGAATTAAGTTTTTGACCTGAAACTTTTCGTACAGAGTATTAAATTTTTGTTAACAAAAAAAAAAAGTTAGTGCTCAACTATTGTAGACATTCTTTGCATTGCCCCAGAAGCTTTCTAAATGTCGAAATTATTCAATTTTTGTTTTGCACTTAAACAAAGTAATCACCCTCCTTTTTTTTCTTTTTTTTTTTTTCAAACTTCTCTCAACAAACTTTTGAAAACCGGTATTTTAAAAACCGCAAAAATGTCTCATTTTATTGTTTTTAATTAGAAAAAAACTAAATGTTTAGCTAGTTTTATGTTGCAGTCGATTACCTTTGGAAGGTTTCTGTCTGAACAACTAGTCGTACTCGAGCACCACATCCACAGTGGCCATACTTAGTTGCATTTTCACCCAGACACCATAGAGCATTATATAAAAAAACCTGCGAGCTGCTTTTATTTGTGATGTAGCTGATATTGCCTACGAAGACTGAATTTTTTTGGCTATGGCTCTTGAGGTGTAAACGAGCTTAGGTTCAGACCTTGCAAGTTGTGTTTTACCGTTTCTTTGTGTGTATTCAAGCGTCGCCGGCCACATAGGCCCACTGGGACTACAGTCGTGTGCGTCTATGCCCTGCCATTTTGAAGTGGCCAAAATCCATGGGACCTTTCCCTCTAGGTCGTTATTATAACTCTATGGGACCGAAACTCTATTCTCCTATTCTCTTGTGGGCGCCGCCACATATGTACTTAGTGTAGAGCGGCGCAGTGGGGCGATTGTTCCGGTTAGAAAGTGTAACTTTCTGAGCTTTAGATACATCAGCAAGCTCAAGCGATATTGTTTTGCTCTGTTGTGGACAGTTCAAACATTTATGGAGGATAGAAAAGCGATTTTTGATAAAGCTACAGATAACTGGCAACAGTGATTTTAAGTGCCAAGATGGCCAAAGTGTCACTACTCTGAAGCATGACTTATTTAGTGGCAGTTGGTCCTTTGGCATTAATTGATGTACTAGTAGTGCTGCAGAAATTGAAGTTTTTAGTTTTCTTTTATATTGCAGGTGGAGAAAGAAACAAAGAGAACAGTGTCTAGATGATGTGGCTTCTATATGGCGATTCTGATAGTTCTATGATAGGAAAGTTTTGTGAGAATACCGTGCATCCGCCCATACCACATCAAGCGCCCTTTCCCAAATTTGTAAAATCTGAGAAAATATGCAGAGTACATTGATATGTAGAATTGATGACCGGACAAGCGCCCATCCCCCATTTTTTCATGATTATCTCAAAATCTTGAGTGGGGCTTGCCCGGTATTTTACGGTAGCTTGGGGATCCTTAGATGTAAGGACAGCGTTTTGTCCACAATTCATATTCTGGAACTTGGCCTTAGCCTCTCAACCTTGTAACACACGAATCTAAACCTGAAAAAAAGAAAAAAATATTTTTTTGTTGGGTATCTTTTGCTATGACAAGCCAGTTTTTTGTTTTTGTGATTTAGTATGCTGCCTGTCTTCATTTCTAATCCATGGCCAACTGAAGATAAGATTAAGCTTTTCCTAAGTGCTTTCATTCTTTTCTAGCTCCAGCTGATACAATTGTTTCGTCAGTCAGGCTGGCATTTACACATAGGCGACAAGGTCTGTCCGGTCATCCAGGAAAAAAGGAAAAGTGGACGATTTGAATGAATCATACCATACTGAATTCTGTCCCATTCTGCTATCTTTCTGATAAAAAAGATGCCAGACATTTAATTTATCATGTACTTGTCTGGCGCTTTAGTACTAACAGGCTGACACAAGTATTCTTGCTCTTAATATGCTCTTGTATTCTGTAAGAGTGTAGACAAAAGGTAAAAAAAGAATTGCACATATGCAGTGGCATCACTAGGGTCAGTGGCACCCAGGGCAATGGGCCACCACGGCACTCCCCCCCTTCTCTCTCTCTCTCTCTCTCTCTCTCTCTCTCTAGTGATGCCACTGCACACTTGTAAAGATACATATGCACTTTAAAGAGGGAAACCTCCCAGCTACATTCTTGTCAAAACTTGTAATACACTGAGCTTGGCAACTGATTTATGCGTCCGAATAAACTGTTGGCTCAATAGATGCAATTGAAGTGTGTTACTTGGGATATAATGCTTTTGTGTAATATTTACTTGCTTCGTTTAAATATTTCGTGTCAATTGCAGTGTACTGTACTGAAGAACCACATATTTAGGGTGAGAACCGAAATGGACAGACAGACATGACTCTCAGTGTGTGTGTTTTGTGTAACCAAACAGCTCATTCAAACTTTGCTGAAGATTCTACTGAGACTTTTAATCTTGTCTTTCAGTACCTGGAAAAAAGGTTTGGGCGAGCAACTCGGCTGGCCGCCTCTGCAACATTCGTCCTACAAATGGTATTCTCTCTCTTTTAAATTGCTTCACTTCTCTAATGTGATCAATCTAGTGTGTGGTTCTGTAGATCTTTGTTCCTTTTCAGAATCCATTCTCATGAAGGAAGGTTTTGCTTAGAAACAAGGGCTTAAATGAACTCAAATAATGACACATTCTAGGCAGACAAATTGTGAGGGTCTTGTGTTTTCCTTTTTAAAGAGTATTTTGTCTTGTTCCCCGAGCTCTTTTTGTCTCTTTAAAAATTTCACCATATTGTCTCTCTCGAAAAACTCGAGTATATCATTGTGGAAGGGGCAGGCTGATATTGTGAATAGTGCCTTCATTGCATCGACTCTCTCATTAGCAATCTCATGAAACTTTGTGTTTGTGTCGGTGCCTTTAATTATACTGTACTCAACTTGTAAAATGGAGTATTGGTTTAAGATTTATTTGTGTGTTGGGAGCCAAGTACAAAGGGAAAGAATCTGTTTCTTTAACATAAGCTTCTAATTTGATTGCTCATGATTGCACCCTTCAGTTATTGTCAGTGTTGCCTGTATTTTTTAGCTGGATGAAATTGACTCTTTTTTCTTTTTTGATGTTCATTATCTCCCCTCTTGTTCTGCTTTGCTGCAGTCTTCAATCTCAAGCTCTTGAAAAGTTTAAAGGCTGTCCCAGACAATAACCACAACCAGGTACCTGGTTTTGGTCATAGCCTTTGACTGTATGGGCATGTAGATAAGTTGAAGATAGTATTATTAGTACCTTTAACTGTTAATTGTCTGTAGCAGTGCTTTGCTTGCATGGTAACTAAAGCTTGAATGCAACTAACAGTAGTCAAGTTTGCCCAATAGTGCAAGAGGCTGAGCAATGATCCTAAGTACACCATCTACTTTCCAAGTTGCAGTTAACCGTAGTGGTATAGAGAGCATTGTACTTTGGAAAATATCTGACTTTAATACACTAAAAAAAAATGAAAGCCGTTTACAATTTCCTGTAACGCCGGTTAGAGCACAGCTCTTGAGGAGGAGGATGGAAGCGTACTGAGGGATAGGTGACTTCTTGAGGTCACGTGACCCCAAGGGGGGGTCGTGTGACATCAGGGGGGTCACGTGACGTCGAGGGAGGGCGGTCACGTGACCTCAGGGGGTCACGTGACCTCGGAGGAGGGGGGGAGAGGGGGTCGCATGACCTCAGGGGGTCACATGACCTTCAGGGGGGTCACGTGACCTCGCGGTGACGCCGACGGCGACGCCGCTCAAGCCGGAAACGGCCCCTAAGAGCTGCGCTCTAAAATTCCCCTCCTCCCCCCCCCCCCCCATGGAGCAGGCTGCCACTTGACTGGAATACACATTTCACCTATGGGCAATGGTGTTATAATCAAGCTTCTGAACATAGCCTGTATACAAATATACAGCAGAACCATAACCAATGTTGAGTTTAGCTGACCACAACAAGCTAGCGACATTGCTTTTTCAAGTATGTTGCTAAGATCTCCCAATACAAGGGGGATAGCCCCAAATCCAAACCGAAGTGCTGCCATCTGAACAGCAGTGCCAGATGATAAGTGATTCATTGTAGCTGGTGGCTTTCTGTAGACCAGTGGTTCTCAAATGGCGGTTCGCAGTACCTTTGGGGTCTGCGAAGGCACTCTAGGGGTCCTCGAAGCCCTGCCTCATCAGCCAAACCATGCAATAAAAGTAGTCTTTTTTTTCTGATGGAGAAGAAATTTTTTAATTTTCGGACGAGTTTTTTTTAGTGTGTTTGTCAATGAGAGAAGTCTACTTCAAACTAGCCTTTGGTTATATCCATTTTTATATCATTATTATATTTAACCTATACCTTTTCTCCCCTTACCACGAACGGGGTCCTCCATCATCTTTGCAGACCCACAAGGAGTCCGCAAAACATCGATAGTTGAAAACCACTTCTGTAGACGAAAACAAGTTCTTTACTTCTAGTTACATAAAGGTCTAATGCTGCTCTTTTAAAGGGGTACAGAAACGAAATTCTAGCACCTATTGTCTACATGTCGATTACATTTTTGCAACACCACGAAGACTTAAAATTTTGTTTGAAAAGGCCTCAAAGCTTTGTTTAAATCAAATGAAACAATTACCAAATTGCACCTGGTGGATGTTTCCAAAGCTACTTTGAATGTTGTTAGGCCAGTTGTCCCCTAGAAGCAGAGCCACTCCGCAGAAATATGGTGCCAAGCTCCGATCGCCTGTCAAATAGGGACAAACCGGATTTCCCTTCTCTCCTGCTCCTACAACTGGGGAGTAGAAAGGAAGGGGGAGAGGGGGAGAGACCAAGAGAGGGAGGTCATTGCAGTCTTGGGTGCAAGCGAGTTACCTTTTCTCCGCTTGCATCGCCCACCCGCTGCCAGTCCTCTGGTATCCTGAACGGCTAGGTCGTAACGCTACCACACACCAAATGGCAAAGCTTGTAACCATGCCAGCCTCGTCGTAGACTTGCTTGTGCTGGGACGAAAGACATTGCAAATACATCGGAGGCACCGAGTCTCTCGAGATGCATCGCACTCTGCAATGGCCGCTCTTCGGGTGCTTGCCAGAATCGGCTCTTTAAAACGAAAAATATAGCAATCCGTTCAAAATGCAAGTATGCGATAGTATGTGAGAGGTATATTTCAATTTTTGTTTTAGTATCTCTTTACACTTTGTTATGATGTAAGCATGAATCAAACATGTCTTTCAGTAAAATTTCGGCCATCTTTGGTGAACAAACAGCGTCTAAAACTTAAAGCGTTCTCATTCTCTTTAAGCGACACCTTGTACAAATAAACTAATGTGTGGGATGTGGAGGCTACAGCAGAATTAAAGAGAGATGTAAATAGCGACTCACTGGTCGAGACGTCTGCATAACTCTGTGGGTAACTTTGTAATGTTTCTGGTTCTCGAGCCTGGGGGCTGTCGGACTGTCACCTTTCTTTTTCATTAATTTCGTCGCAACGCTTCCGGCATCGAGACGTCTAAGGTGTAAGTCTTTCCAGTGTTTCGTGGGTTTGTGGCATCGGTCCAGTTGGCTCGTCATTGTGCGTCTGGTCACCCTAGGGATCATGCCGGAAGCGAAACTCTCGGACCCTGCACTCGTCACTTGTTTACGACCATTGCCTCGAATAACTTTTATTTTGCGGCAGTCCCAAAGGCTACACACTCTCGTTTGTTTCGCTTTCCCAGCGTTCTCAAGAGGATGTGACATAAGGGTATTCAAACTATAGGAAGAGGCATTGTATCGTTGTTGTGATGGAGTCGAATCTAAATTTATAGATTTGCCAAGTCTGAGTAAACAAGGAAAAACAAATTTAGTGGCAGACATTTGTTTAGGGTCCATGAAATGACTTTCTTCTTGCCCAGTAGAAATGTGCAAGCAAGCTTGATCCATAGACTACTTACTGCCAGACCTTAAAGGGATACTGAACCAAAGATTTTAGTGCCCACAATAAGTGGTGCACATTCTTTCCATGAGCCAGCAGCCACCGGTGTGCGCGAGCACACGCAACGAAAATGACGTCGAAGACCTCCATTCGCGCTTAAGAGGACAGTGAAATGCATGGGCTTGGGGCCAAAGGAGAATAAAGACAGGCTTTTCATCTCCTGAAGTGAAAGCTACGCCCTTGTTACACCAATTAATCGCTTACCTTTGACACCAGACACTACAGTGTAGATGAAAAACTTGTCTTTATTCTCCTTTGGGCCGAAGCCCATACATTTCAATGTCATCTTAACCGCAAATGGAGGTCTCCGACGTCATTTTGGTTGCGTGTGCTCGCGCACACCGGCGGCTGCTGGCTCGTGAAAAGAATGTGCGCCACTCATTATGGACACTAAATTCCTTGGTTCAGTATCCCTTTAAAGGGGACGAAGCCACTTTCTGCAATTGTATATTTATGGTCATAACTCAGTATAAGCTCTAAGCACCCTAAAATTTTTTTTAAAAATCAGTATAGAAGATTGAGACACTAGAGGGCGCCGTCAGACAAGCAAAGCATTTCCCCTTGCAACGGCGCCCTCTGGTGTCCTGATCTTCGTTATAAACAACCGTTATTCGTAGATAGCTAGTACTATGTGCATTTGATCTCTCAAATACTGCAAAACTTTCGCTCGGGTGAAATGCAGTTCCAGGGCCACATCATGGATGGTGCCACCAGGCCTGTGTGTACTCTTGTCGTGAGAGACGGCAAGGGTTCTGTCCTAAGCAAACGCAAGTGTCTGCGGCAGCCTTTAGTTTAGTATGTGCTACGTAATATCTCTACCCTCAAAATTTGCACAGAAAATGCTCGTTAGGTTTACAGTCGATAAATGCAAAGCGAAAAAAAAGCTTTAAAAATAGGTAAAGGTGGTTCTGCAGGTCTACTTTTAGGCAAGCTTGTGTAGGCCTATTACATAGAGCCCTAGCTTCATCCTGGTCCCTGACTGTGTATGGTGGGCTTCTCGTTGATTTGCAGGTCTTCTACATGGCTGTGGTGCTCTATGCTCCAGCTGTGGCCCTAAGTGCAGTCACAGGCATATCCAAGTGGCTCTCCATCATCTCCGTGGGGCTTGTCTGCACTTTCTATTGTACTATCGTAAGTTGCTTCTGGGCACCTGATTGCATGTTTTGTGTTTAAGCTTGCTGTTGCAGTAGAACATATATTGCACGATAAAGGCTTCTGTATTTTTTTTCTGGGTGAATGTTAAGCTGGGAGAATAACGGCAGCTGAGCTTTTTTTAAAAATACCCAATGTCTGTGTTGTAGAAACATCTCAGAATTGATATGTGCCCGTTTCATGACAATTTGAATTATAATGGTGCCCCATTTACTTTCCTGCCCTTGACTGTTGAAGTCATGCTTGAAGCTAGATATGAGAACTTAATTCGTCCTCATAAATTACAGGTGACCCATAGATGGGTCAAGTCCTTAGGTTAACCGATTGCCTCTGTGTGGCATTGAATGTTTTATTTTGACTTGCGAAACATTTGAACACTGTCTGGTTCGTGACGCTCAGTCGTTAAAGATTTTCTGGTGCGTCACTCATAGCCTTAAGTTTCTTAGATGCATTGCAACATAAATCCCACCCCACCAGTCATCTGGATTTTGTCAAAAAAGTGGAATTAGTGATGTTTTGGTATCTTAAGTACAATATGTGGAAAAGCTTGAAAATACATAATCTTATCTATCTATCTGACTGGATGGGGGACAGAATGGACTGAAAGCTTGAGTCAATTTCATGTCCAAAGCATGCGTTCACGGAACAAGGTTTCATTGTCATGCAAAACGAACCATCGTCTTCAGTCGCACACGAGTAATGAGAGTGCGAAGGCATTTTTCCCATTCTCGCTCAGTCAAACCGCGGTCGTAAAAATGACTGCAAATACAAACTAGTGCTTATTGGCTGTTTGCACCGTATATACATGCTCTGAATCTAAAACTTGAAGGTTAATGTTTGGCAGCCCTCTGCCTGGTTAGGAATAGACATTAAGCGAAAGATAGGAACTCTAACCAAAAGTTTAATAAACAGTGACCTGACGTTTTGAGGCCAGTTAGGTCCCTTGTTTACGGGTGAGTGGCTGACAGAATAGGCGTCGCTTAAATTGAAGCGACGCGTGTTCTGTCAGTCACTCACCCACCCGTGAACAAGGGATCGAACTGGTCTCGAAACTTCCGGTCACTGTTTACTAAACTTCTGGTTAGAGTCCCTATATCTCGCTTAATAAATCTGAAACCATGGAAAACATGCTACTGTGGAAGAAAAGCAATAGAAATAGAAAAAAACACAGGCACAGCAAGCATCGGGAGACTATTGAAAATTGAGAACACGGAGCAACGAGACAGGGCGGGAATATTCTTTCACTGGAAGGGGATCTGAGTGTTAGGTGTACTCTGGTGTCCTCTTGCATGGCACATGCATTCCCTAGGGAGTGACTGCTGTGTTGCCGCCTGGTTTGGATTACTCAGCCCAAGTGAAAGTAGAAAGCAAGCCGGACTGAACTTGCAGCAGTTGGGATGTTTCAGAGATGTTTGTTTGTGGTATGGATGAAAATTCTTGTTCATTTGTCATTGTGTTTGAACTGCAGGGTGGAGAGTAAAAATAAATATGATTTCAATCGTGATTTAAATCTGACCAGCTTTCATGTGACAATATAAATCAAACCTTTCCTAAAAAAAATAATTTGGGACTTTTTTTATTGTTTTTATATATTTTTACACTTTTTATTTGCACTTGTTTTCTGTTTAAATAAAAAAAAAATTGTTGAGTAAGAAAGATTTATGTAAGGCTGAATACGAGCAAAAAGCAGTGCTTTTCTGAGCAAGTCGGAGCGCTGAGCTTGATGTGCTTCTTCCACCTCGTTCGTCTGTTACGTAACATACTATTGCCACAAAACCAGAATGCAAGAAGAAATGAACTAAAAAATGTATGTTCTATTGTTATCAAGTCGGAATGCAGAAGAAAAATGTACTTTGAATGTGCAGTAATTCTTTCTTTTGCATTGTTTTCAGTGAACAGATGCATTGATCAATCAATCTGCCATGTTTAAAAATACATCTTGTGCTAAAAAATCGCTATTTTCTAGCTGCATTCATTTTAATCAAATATATTTGATTTAAATGAAATAAACACTATGTAAATCAAATAAATCTAATTTAATCAAATTTATTAAACTTTTTAGTTGCATTTTTTTTTTAAAGCCATTTTATGAGGCATCATTATCCAAATAAAACACCACACCAAGAACGCAGTCTTGCAAGCTTTGAGATTGTTTAAGCACTGACACTGCTGCAACGTTTTCAGATTCCAGTCAGTTGTTTAGTTTACTGTGAAGAGCAGTGAGAAGAATAAAGTTGAGGATGATCTCTTTTTTCCATGTAGCCAGTGGCATAGCCAGGATTTTTTTTTTCGGGAGGGGTCCAGGGGCATCCCTTCCAATGACGCAGGGTGAGCTCGTTGGTACGGATGATTAGGGAGGCGCTGTTAAAGTGCCCCTGAAAAGAAAGAAAAAAGTTTTCTAAACAGTCTGGTAGGGACACGCGTGTAAAAAAAAATGAAATTTACACAAAAAAATAATTTTAGGGGCCATATTCACGGCGAGAGATTTATTTGTATTTTGCGCGCAAAATTCACGACGTCGCTGAGGTCATTCACTTTTCCACCTCAAGGAGAATGTGAAGCCGATTCAGCTCTCCTCCACGCTCCCGAAATGCCAAGAGAGAAAACAAGTGGAAAGGAGGTGACTACCGACTAAATCTCGTCTCGCGCAGTCAGCATTGCTCTAAAAAAATATTAATAAATAACAAATTAAATTTTTTGAAACTCGTGTCCCAACCAAACTGTTGAAAAAAATTTTTTTTTTGTGTGTGTTTTTTAAGATTAAACGGGTAAAGCTGCATTGTCATTTTGGAAAACTGAGCAGGCTTCGTTTACAGGAACACGCACGTGGTGGGTCACTGTTTTACTATCTTCGTAGTTGCGGCCCACCAACTTTAAAAGCTTCCTCACAGCACACAGCTCCCCCCGCTTTTTGTGGTACCACTGCATTACCAACATGTGAAGGCCAGACAAAACACAAAGATAGCTATACAATCACAAAAAATAAATCAGCAAAAAAAAAAAAATTTACACTGTAAAATTAAAGCAAAAATCAAAATCTATTATCTATTAAACGTTTAACACATTCGTGCTGCAGAACCAGATGCCGAAGGAAAGAAAGTCTCATCTTTGCTAGGCCGCTTTATCTTGCAGTGTAGTCTAAAGACAGCAGCAGCATATCCTCGGGGTCATGAGAAGCCATCAGTCCGAACTCGTCGTTTCGTCATTCGAGAAATGACATGATACACCACACACAAACACGCAAACCACATGTCGAACGTGGAAATGAACTTGACTACCCACGTGCCTATGTGTAATGAGAATATGAAGGCTTGTCTCTTCGAATTTTTTTATGTTTCCTGCAACGAAGAGATTAATCTAATAAGGAATTGCATCGGATGCCACCTTGACATGCAAAGCAGAAAGCAAGGCGGACCGTCATCGCATCCGTGAGCGACTCGATGGAGGGAAATTTCACAAAGTGAGGGAGACTTTGCCAAAAATAGGCAAATTTTAGCCGTCCAATGCCCGTCTGGTCTGCGCTACAGGCGGACGCCCTCTGTCCGGAGGCCCTATTTCAGAACGTCCATCGTCCCCCTCAAAATCCTAGCAATTCTGCCCGAAACAACGGCGGAAGCTGAGCGCTTGTTCTCTTAACTACGGCGGTTGAAAGCATGCCTGAGAGCGTCCACCTCGAATGAGCGACTGCTCGGTCTTCAGCTTTTGAATGTTAACCGCGACATTGAAGTTTAAGCGAAGAACATCCTGAATATTTTTTGCCGTGAATGCAGGCGGCTGCATCTTAATGTGTACGCGCTTGGCATAAACGAGATGATAAAGATAGCCTGTAAGTTGTTTTCTGAAATAACTAGTCACAATTATCTTTTTATTCGCGGTAATTTCTAGTCGAAAGCACGTAATTCTGATCAGCACCCGTTGCTTACAGTGAAATTGTCTTTACAATTCATTTAATATTGCTTACATCACTGACACTGTTTTATATGATCAACATGTGTTCAATTTATAATGTTCACTTTGGTTTGATTGAACTTTGTAATTCAGTAAAAGTAGTTTGTTATACTTTGCCTTGAAATTGCCATCCTTCACCCTACAAATGTTTCAAAATATCCGTTCTCTACATGCTGTGATCAAGTTCCGCATCCCATAGAATATACATCAGTGAAGCAATATTGCATATTTTATTAATTTGACCACTTTCCACCCAACTAACATTTTTCCCAAAAGCACGTAAATTGGAGATAGTCCGCGCTTCCCCGTTGATCCGTGCCTCGTGCAAAACCGACTGCATGAGCATGGGAGCGAGCGGGCCCCGGTGGTGGTGATGGGGGGGGGGGGGGGGGGGGGGGGTGTAGCTTTGGCATTTCGAGGGGGGGGGGGGGGGTTCGACTTCCCAAAACCCCCCTTTTCCTACGCCACTGCATGTAGCTATTGGTCATCATGCCCAGACAATTAGCAACACCACTGACAGAGTGGTGACATTTACCTTGGCAAGTCATGTTTTGCTGAATAAAACTTTGTGCATGATTTCTGTGTAAAAAACGTGTTAGTGAAGGACAGCATTAATTTTAGCAACCCCTTTTTATATCTGGTAACTGATGACTTTCAAAATGAGAAAACTACATTCAAGTGCTGTCATAACATTACTGCTTTAGTTTTTTTTTATTATGTTTGATGTTTTTAATTATATTGAGTAAAATGGGGGGGGGAGGGCATTTATAATAAGATATTTTTTATTTATATTACTCTACTTGCTGGCCGCTTATACAGAGGCCAAGGCAACTACAACCGTGCAGTGCAGCATAAAATATATTAAACAAGGAAATAACAAAAATATACTTATGCACAAAAATACCGGTATATAGAACTGGCACCGCACTCTCAGTGCAAACAATGTGAAAATGAAAGTAAGAACACTTGAGTGCTCTTTAGTAAGGCAGCATTAAAACAATGTCTGGGACTAGTTGTGGAAGTTTGTAGAATCTGGATGCAATTTCTTCAAACTCGTGTCCTTGGGGAAAAGTCACTGTACGCCGGTAAACGTGTCAAGGGGAGTCTGTTTAAAAGCTCTTCAGGAAGTTTGTTCCAAACCATAACTGTGCATTGATAGTAAGCTGTACTTGAAAACATTTGTGTGGCAGAAAAACTTGCACATTGCTTTATGGTGTCTTTTCTAGCTGTTAGGTTAGTGTCAGGTGCAACATAACCGCTCCTGCCGAGGGTTAACTGGTGGAGCAACTGTAGTGTGATGATTTTCCTTTGCTTGGCCAGGTGCAGCAGAGTATGAGCTAAGCGAGCACCTCTCTGGTTACTGATCCCAAAGGTACAATGCAAAGATAAAAACGGGGCCATTCGCCACAATGTTCAGGGAAATGTCTGCCCATCAAACATACTGCCATTCAATATTTGTATTTCGGAATAGCAATTCTCTAAAACTACACGGAGCTCTCGGATAGTGAGTAGCGATCAAGTTGGGGAAGTGCCACTTGGATAAGGTGCGCATCAGACTAACATAGCATAGAATGCAAGGTGGATTTGAGATTGTCGAAAGTCGGTGTCTTTGTTATCTTCTTTGTTTTCGTTATCACGGATGTCCTCGGACCTCTCAGTCCAGTGTCACATCATTCTAAGAGAATAGGCATTAACTGACCTCGTAGTCTGCGGTTAGGCTATTTTCTAGTGATTGTCAATCTTTCAGTGCTTTCCGGTTTAAGATAAACTCCCTTTTGTTTGGTAGCAAAAAAAAAAAAATACTTCAGTACATATGTATTTTGTCATGATTTGTTTTGTTTTATTGTCTGCGCTTGTGTCATTTGGGGTGTAGGTGTTTACCAACGTCACGATTCACGGTTTTGGTTTCTGTGGGAGTGGGAAATCTTTGCTCAAGAAGTGGTATGAGAGATGTTTTGGTGATGAGCATTGAATTGCAATATTGATATATTTTATTCAGTTGTTTTATTTAAAACATACTTGCCATTAGATCAAAGCAGGAGGGTAAGCTCGTTGAACTGCATAAACACCTATACAAAAATATATGATCAAATGACGTGTCAAACATCAGCTGGTTCCCAGCCACGGTGAAGGAAGGCTCTTTAGGTGTGGAGACTCCTCTCCTCGCCCCGTCAGAACGGCGAACACATCACGTCCCCTCCTTTCCTATGTTTTCTCCATGCGACGCAGACACAACAGACTGCCCATCTGTTCAGGGTCGGGTTCTGTCTGGCATTCTTGTGGCAGACGCTTCTCCGGTTTCGGTCGAAGGTGCAAAGGGGTTCGGATCGCATGAGAAGGCGACAGGACTGCAAAGGAAAAAACCGAGATGCAAAGAAAAGAAGAAAGAGTCCCGACTGTGCAACTCGTAATGTGGAAAAGAACTCCAAAAGTAGCTATAGAGTGTGTCATACATTAAAAAATGTTTTAACAGCGGTTTTTTTTACAGCGATTTTTTTTAAAGTTTGGGATGATATTATTATTATTATACTTATATCAGAAGTTCCATTAATAAAACCGGTTTGCTTTCCTTGACAAGTTTGGTTACTATAATCTTTTGCTGCAATCTGCTACATGCAAATGTAAGTGTACTAACAAAGTGAACCTTTCAAAGAATGCTGCTTTCATTAATGTGTGCGTGCAAAATGTGTAACTTCGTGCCAATTTGGCCAGCAGTTCAATTTAGCAGGACTCAAAGGCTGTCTTAAAATGTAAAAGAATAATCGCGTTAGCTGCCCCACATGTTTAAAAAAAAATTTTTGTTTTTTTAATAGTCCATTTGAATCAACGGGAGTTTGCGAACTCGATATATATATTATATATTTTTTTTAGAAAAGTCATGTGAACGGTGCTTAAAGCAATTCAGTTCTTTATTATCCGTTAACAAGGTTTGAGCTAATCATTCTTTATTTTTGTGCATTTTTCTTTTCTTTCAGTCGCACTCAAGTTATCGTTCACCTGCGCTACAATCAGAGTTTATTCATTTTACAAACGCTTCCAGACGTTACTATTGCGCTACTGAGGAAACAGACGGAATGTAAGCTAGGCTAGAAATTATCTACAGGCGAGGGATATTTCTTTTTCACTCGTAGACCGCCGCGTCGGCTGGTATTGGGGAGTTACTCTTGTTTGTCAGTCTGCCATATTTGGGGTTATGAAAACTTCAGTGGTGCTGAGAGAGATGATAGTTGAATGGCCCCACCTACATACCACATCGTACGCGAACCCGTAGCCACCGGAAAGCAAGCTGCACGCCGAGCAGGCAGCTAGCACAGGCGGCCCGGTGTGCTGCCGGATGGCCTGAAACTTACGGCGCCATCTGGGGGTGGCTCCGTGAAGCCAAGCGCGCGGGGTGTCATTATCTGGTCGCAGCGGAGAGCGGATACTCTACACCTAAAAAGCCTTCCTACACAGTGTTCCCGGCAAATGTACTGCAAAACATTAGCTCCCCTGGAAGGAGGTTTTTACAGCGGAGCTGTGAAGGGCTAGTTTCCCCAGGGTCGTGTCCCCCACAAAGAAATGTTGACACAAAACTCTGGTTGTCGCCGTTGCTCATAGATGGCGGTAGCTGTCCAGAGTGTTGTTTGCCAGTTGTCCGCTTGCCGCCATTTCTCATAGATGGCACAACCTTTCGAGCCTTTCCACTCTGGCTTGCCGACTTGCGGCCGGCCATTACTTCAATCCCACCATGGTACAGCTTCGCTGGTCCTCCTTCTTCACCAAGTGGAAAGGCTAAAAAGTTTTTTTATTTTTTTTGCTGTTGAACGCAATTTTTGAACTCGTGATTGTCTCCCCTTTCGACAGGGTGGCATGAAGGCGGTGCTATGGACGGACCTCTTCCAGTCCTTGCTCATGTACATCGCTATGCTTGCCGTGGTCATTGTGGGCACCTACAACATGGGGGGCCTGGACAAGGTCTGGCAGGAGGCACAAGAGGGGGGCCGGATAGAGTTCTTCAAGTGAGCTTTACCCCACCCCCTGCTATTCAATACGCCATTCCGGAAATATGCAGCGTTTCCCGTCGTCTTTTCGGCGCACGACGGTAATCCGATGTACAGTTTGTGCAGAAAAACTCGTGAATGAGAGGTTGATCTTCGTTTAGCATTGTGCGACTTCAGAACATAAAGAATGCAGGACAATAACAAAACTGGGTATGCATCGGCTTTGTTTGCCTTATTGCGGAGGAGGCGCCGTGTAACCGAACTTTTGGTTGCACGTCAAAAGATCCCCAGGTGGTCCAAATTAATCCTCAGTCCTCCGCTGAGGCGTGCCAGATGCCCGTCGTTGGTTTGGCACGTAAAACCCCCAAATATGACTTTTGGCTTTGTTTGCAATATGTTTGCTCTCTTCCTTTTTTTTTTGTGTGTGTGTGTGTGTTTTGAACTTCAGTGGTAAGAGGGAAGGAATTTACCCACTTTCAGAATGTAATGAGCATGTGAGCCAGCCCAAACCTTGCATCGGAGCGGCCACACGATTTCCCGTGCAACGTGGGATCGACGAGAGGCTTTGTTAGGTCTTGCAGGATTGGGGCTTCGTCTCGTGATGTAATATGAATATAAATGTTTAGATGAATGAATGCTGCAAGCAACCCAACTTTTGTGACTTCAAAATAGTGTCGCAAAATAGATCATGCGAATATATTACTCTATGGCAGTGGTTCTCAAAGGGGGTCTGCAAGGCCAAGATAAATGGATCAAACCACATGCGTGGAGTGAGTAGGGTTGATCAAAGTTGGTTTGCGCGCATTTAGTTTTCTTGGTATACTTTTTTGTCACTGTTATCTGCCAATGATGGTTGGAGTCCCGCCATCATTTCCACCGATCTAGACAGGGGTCCCCAAAGCATCACTAGTTGAGAAACACTGCTGTATTCGCAACTCCAATGCCCTGTAGGTGGCGGGACAGTAGTACCAATATGGCGGAAGAGACTGAGATAGATTCTCCAGGATATCCCGTGCGCCTGCTCGCTGACGCTGTTCAGCGCGCTAAAAATGATTCATTTGTCTACAAATGCGAAGCGGTTAGGTAGGGATCATATACCAGGTGACAGAGATGCTATTGCGCATTGGGAAAACGAGCATGGTGTTATTTAAAAGTTTCAGAAACCTCAGATTGCGAAGCTTTGTGGTGAGCGAGCGCGTTTTAGGCACCGGCCACGTTACTACTATTTGTGGCAGAATATTTTTGAGGGAGATGAAGGTATTATGTTTGCGCTTTGCCTGGCCGTTAGTTCTCTAAGAAGAGAGCCGCGAACATTGACCGTCAAGCTTCGAAAAGAGCAGCGTTCACAGTATTGGTGTCTTCGCGTCCCAGCCTCGCAACTCGCTGCTCACAGTCTCGGTTTTAGTGTATTGCAACATGTAATTAAACTGCTCTATGGTTATTGATAGAAAGTTTGTTACCGCAGGCTACCGTGCGGTAAAGCGCTACAACCGCAAGCTTGCGCTGCGCCTCCGAAGCAGAATTTTCAGTGCTCTACAGGAGCGTTGCCGTGCTTATCACTATAAAAAGAAAAAAAAAAATGAGTTCTGATTCTTACACCGCTCGTCACATATACGACACTCTAAAACTTCAGTTCGCCTTGCTGCCCACTGACGTCAAACTGACGGCGGCCCTAACTTTTACAGGAGGCTTGATGACGGCGCAATATAAGTATGCATCAAAGAGTACTGAAAAAAATAAACGCCGAGGTTTTGCAGTAAAGCTCGGAAAACCCCGATTACTTTCTTTACAGTCATTTACACTTATTTAAGCTATTTTAATAAGTTGCACAATTCGGCTATCAAGCCGCTCGTGAAAGTTGGTAGTGCCGGTTAAACGTCAATGTGCTGTACGTTCAACTGAAGTTTAGGGGTGTCGTGCGCTATGCAAAAACTGGCTATTAACATAATCGGCGTGTTAGGGGTTTTATTTATTGCTCTATCAAAAATAAATATTTTAATATACCGTAAATTTTTTGTACCCTGTTATTTGTAACATTGCGGTCCCGCTGGCCAAATGTGTGCATTCTAGGCTCTCGTCACGAACGGCTGGCTAACAGACGTGCTTAAAGTCCTTCGAGCATTTCTTTATTTGCTTTATAATTACCTGAAAGGAAGCGCGGGTATTTTGTCTTTTTAAACTGCTGGGAATAAATGGTCATGTTCCTTGCAACGGCCTTAAAACGCGAACCCATTCCCGATTTGTATTTCTCGACTTACCGTTGCGCGACAAGTTTTCTCCTACTTATGGCAAAGAATAGACTTTCCGTAGACCGTACTATAGAGTTCTTCATTATTAGCGGGAGCGTTTGCCGTCATGTTGAGCACAGATTGAGCTGGCTGCCATGCACAAGACCAGAAATTTGCAGCGTATGCGATACACGAAAAGTCCCTAATGAAATTGGGCATCCTGGTCCTTCGTGCAAGGTTGTTGCGAGGCGGAGCGCAAGAATTCCTTTCTTAACGTGCTCACTTTTTTTCGTTAAAACGGCTTCACGCATCAACGCCGACAGTCCCTGCCACTGTTTCGGCGCCACCGCCGCTGCGGTCCCCGCTCCTCTGGTTCTCCGTTCGTCCGCGGGAGGGCGAGCGGCACGTTGGAGTTGCGAATGATAATGAATAAATAGCCTAGCACCGTGTCACAAATTTTCATGCGCGCGAAATATTGCCGAAACCCACGATTCGCAAAATTTACGATGTAGTGAGCCCGCTGAAATGAAGTACTTTACAGTACTATGCATTTCCAAACTTATGGTTGAATGGCTGCACTCTGCCGTCGCACGCCGTCATCTTCAGTTATCAGCGCCTGTGCGGAGCGCAAGTTTGTCTGCTTGTTCAGTGGTTGCACCGACGTCACAATGCCGAGCTCCGATTGGCTCTAATGGAGGAACGGTGGGTAGACCTTGATGGCAGTTGCCTTGAGGTCTTCCCACCCTCTTCCAATCGGAATTGATCGTAGCTTGGCGTCCCGACGTCACTGCGACCCCCGCCCGAGAAACGGACAAACTTGCGCTCTGCATAGACATTCCTTTCCCTACATGTTAGTTATTCAAGAAATTCTAAAGGATTAGATGGCGTAAACCGGGGTAATCTGGAGACACGATTGCGCTTAAAGTAAGCCCTGCTTGCGCGATTTGCTTGTGTGCCCCTTGCAGTTTTGACCCGGATCCCACTGTGCGTCACACGGTGTGGACCCTTGCGGTGGGAGGCATCTTTGTGTATGTGTCCCTGTACGGGGTCAACCAGGCTCAGGTGCAGAGGCTCATGACGGTCAACAGCCTGCGGAAGGCCCAGGTGTGAGTACCCCTTTGCGTCGCGCTGTCAGTCATTGAATTTGTTTTAGGGCCAAGTTAACTTGCAGGGATTTGCAGCTCGAGCTTGGGGGCCACCCAGTCTTATTCGAAATGTACAAGTTGCGAGTTGCTTTGGAATGGACAGTCTCAATGGAAAATGTCCTCATGTTGTCATTGTACCTCGCTGTTCTGGCTCGTCAGGTCAGGCCAAGCAGTTTGAGTTGTTTCCTGTAGGATACATATACTACTGTCGTCTTGTGAGACTGATGGTGTGCCTTGTATTCTTATGACATTTTGGCTGGCTGATTTAAGCTGTGGAGCTTTCTGGTTTGAATGAATGAACGATACACCTGGAAGTCGGAAGTACTGTAACAGACTAACCGAATTTAGTAAATTGTCGTCTTTGGCCATTGGAATCCACTTTTCGGTTGAGATGAAAGCTTCATTGACAGTTCGTTTGCATTCTCAGACTACTTGCTGTAGGAGCTTGTAAACATGAACACCTACAGTCACTGACAGGAAAAGCATGGCTTGAAGTCTACAGGTTGTCTTGCCTCCAGAATCGGTTTCCTAGTTTCGGTAACACTATGGAGCATCTTGAGCGTGGACGCGCAGTTAAAGCCTCACCGAAGTCAACGAGCGCTTGCTGGAGGCTGGATAACCGAAAGAGGTGCCCTGCACTTATTGCCCTGCCGGCGACTAAGTTCCCGCAAAATCCCATAAAGGCGCACTCCTAAAACTCGGAGATTAATGGTGAAAACGTGAGGTGGGCTATCTTTGGGGACGAGACAGCAAAGCTTTATAAAAAATTAATTATAAACACACGGGCACCCGCTACAAACCACGCGATATGGGAACTGACACTGCAGATTGCGGGAACGGCAAATTTTGGTTTTACGACTGTGCGATAAGCGAAACATGGTAACGATTTGCTGAAAGTCCCTTTTATTTTTATTTCGTAGTCGTGTTTGTTTGTTGTTCTGTTTCGAGCGATTCAGAGATGTCCAGCCGAGAGCCGTGCATGCCCCTAGTCCAGCCGTCCCACGAGGAATCGAGGTGCGTTAGAAATATTTCTAGACACATTTATTTCACAATAACAGCTCGCAAACAAATCAGATACAGCACTAAATACATACACGAAAAGATAGAACACTGACACCCTTTCTTCCTTAGAAGTTCTTTGGGGGTAATCTGAATAAATATTAAATTTTCCCAGTATGGATAAAACGTCATAAACACATACAAATATTTACAAATGTACACACAAATATTAACCCACATGTTTACACAGTCAACATACAAAGTCAGATCAGTTAGTTGTTTGTCCAGCTCGCTGAAATTAAATAAGTTGTTTCCTCATTTAAGAACTAGGTCACTTTACTTATTCAGGATTAAGCAAACGAGCAACATTGAAAGGCGGTGAAATGATTGATGTTGATCGTTATTCTGAATGACTGTTACCATCTGCAACTTTCAGAAATATTGGCACTCAACGAACTGTTGAACCGATGAACTACGAAGTGTATGTGCGTAGCACTGTGGTCCGGTGCTCGATCACTCTATGTCCCCAGCATCTGTAATAACAATGTGGTCATAATTTTTATAATTTTAGTCTCCAAAAGGTCAAACACAAGAAAACTACCACACTCGTGTCCAGAATTAAATGACATTTATATCAAACTACAATATAAAGCCAAAATTTGTGTTTTTTGTTTGTTTGAGGACTGCACGAGAAAATTTCAGGATTAAACATCATTTTAACCTTTTTAAGCATGGAGTTGTGCATTAAGCGAAGTGGGGCTGTAACAGCTCTTCAGTTTTAAATCGTACTGCACCACAACTTCATTTCATAAAATAATATTACTAAACATTTTCTTTTTTTTTTTTTTTCCCACTACGAGATTAGACAAGTTATGTCAACCCGCAGTCTAACAGCTATGGGCAGCGAAAATTCAATGTTAACAAATTTCTGGGGGAATAAAATGGTGAATACAAAGGAGGTGCAAGCTCACCTGTTCATTTTAGAAAAAAGAGAAAAATCTTGTAGCTTTTGTCTTTTGCCTTTGAGAATGGGCACACCAAACACTCTCTTCAATAAAGTTTCTAAAGGTTTATGCTAAAACATCCAGCAAATTTGACTGGTACGCGGAATGCCAAAAACGAAGCCCAGGCTCGCACGATCCATGCGTAAACAAGATCACACACAGCGATGCAACCGAAGCAACCATTACAATAATTACAATGTTGGGAGAAGGAAGCAGCGGCGCTGAGGTCCAGGGCGCCGGCGGGTCAGGCGGCTTTGCAGCTCGTAGAACCCACCGCCCAGTTTTATGGTTTTGTTTTCAGACCAAAAGAAAAACAAATAGAAATTAAGATATAAAATTAATTACACTATTTTTGTGACGTGCCGAACACTTTTTATAGAAACTAATGTTATGTGAAAGAATTTGATATTTTCGTTTTTACTTTAATGAGGGTACCCCACTAACGAAGCACTGCTGCCAGTGGTGACAGAATTGACAGCGCCGTCGATGGGGGCGACGCTAATGTCAACGCCGCGAAACTCGACTGTGTCCGGTGGTTAATATACACTCCGTGCGACGCGACTGGCGCGCCGCTGTGCGGCTGGTATTGAAGGTAGGCTGTGAGAGCCCCAGAGAAAACGAAACCGAAACCGCGCCGCATACGTTGGTACGCATTGAAGTCGGAGTGGTGCGGTTGCGCTGGGTTCACAGCATGAAGTGCTGCCTGTGCTGCGTCATTAAGTGCTTCAATATTTATGCGTCGTGTCTCGTGGAGACAAAGTTTCACAGTTTTTCACCTCGCCAATGTTTTGTGGGACAGCGACAACGATGGACCCGCGCCGTACGACGCGAGAAATTCGGTCTCCCGATCATGTCTGCCACTGTGTCGGCATGGCTGACATATTCTACACTGCCGCTTTGCACTCTGCGTTTGTTTTCGTACCAGTAACGCCTACATGTGTCAGTGCCGATGGGACGAACTGAAATGCCATCCCACACTCGCGGGTATGCAGTGCCAATTTCGTTGGAGGAATGCCCTCCAAAGAAGTTTCTTCCCCATCGTACGTGTCGATGATATTTCCAGACAAGTATGGCACGCAATCTGTACTTCATGAAGGAAGATTCGAACGGTAAAAAAAGTGACAAATATAAATCTAAAGAAAACAGCAATGAAACTCGGTATCACTGGAGAATCAACGTTTGAGTGTGGAAGTTTATGTGGTGTGCTCTCTTTCTTGATCAGCCTCCTTTTGGATGTGGAAACGCTGACACCCCCGAGTTCTGTAGACAACAACAAGTCCAAGCACCTGTGTGCCCAAATCTGCACTTTGCACAGCCTACCATAACACAACATTTTGGGTTCAATATTGGACATCCCGTACAGCTTTATTTCTTTATTCGTTAGAAACATAACCTTCACACCTGCTGTCTTAATGAAACTTGGCGCACTTCGTGCACAAACTTAGTGAACGTCTCACTCGCCTCCAAATATCATCCTTCCAGCAGTCCTACGTTTACAGAGACTAGCGAAATAAATTTCCCACTCGGAGCAATTACATGGTAGCGGCCGTCTTGCTTTCCGGAAAATTACTCAAACTCCTTTTTCGGCCGCGAACTAGAGAAATTACCCCTAATGACGACTGAAACTCAATATATAAGAAGTGGAGAACAGCTAAATGGCCCTTCTGCCCCAGCACTCATGCAACGTCACCCTCAACTTATCGGCTCAAAAAGCAAAAGTTTCGTCCGTGCGCGCTTCCGCCGCCACAGCTTGGCATGCGAAAAGGCGCCGCAGGCTGCTGAACGCGCCTCAGTCGAACGCCAGCTCCTCCGCTAGTGGCGCTGCGCGCGTTTTTCAAAGCGCCCCTTATAGTTCCCACACGGAGTGTATAGACTTTCTCAGGACCCACAAAGAAAAAGATTCAAAGTCTTTTTTTTTTAATTTCTCTTCATATATATCTACAGGCCTATATGTAAAGTGACCTTTCTGCTGCGACATCTTGATTACATATTTGGGCTTCCGTGTGCAAGCCAAACTTTTTTCCTTGAAGGTGTGAATTATTGCAACTTGTTGAAACTGTATTTATAACTCATGTGTAAAGATTTCAAGACTCGGTCTGTTCCACTAGTTGTCAGAAGTTCACAAAAGCAGCAGAACTTAATTTGTGTTTTACATGCATTGTTTTTTAATATATGGTTTTGCCATTGCATATTGTCATCTTTTTAGTGTTACTGTATTGACAAGTTTGTGACAACCATGTATGTAAGTAATGAAATTGTAACAGCTAGGTGTTTGTTTCTTTTCACAGTGCCCTCTTCATCAATTGGCCACTAGTATCTGCCCTTAGCATAGTGACAAGTTTTGCGGGCCTTGTGATGTATGCCAACTTCAGGCACTGTGATCCGCTCAAGGCATGCAGGATCTCCAAACAGGATCAGGTGCGTACGATCTGGTATCTCAGCCACACACCTTTGACGATGTTGGAGTGTTTGAGGGTTAGTTCGCAAAACAAGAGGGATGGGCTTAGCGCAGAAGTGATTTCGTGTGTAGCAAGCAAGCTGCCGAAATGTACCACTCTTTCTAAAACCGAGACTTTAAAAAATGACCTGCCGATTTCTAGAGCCCTGCATATCTGCGGATTACCCGTTGATCATCCACGGATATCCACAACCAACTGGCGGATGGAGGTATACTAATTCGATTTTGCGGATCGGATGCCAGGGGCTGTGGACGCAGACGCAGATATCCGCAGGTTTGGATTTGCATTTTTTCCGAGGTGGCACATAAACCTGTGCGACCGCAGGGAGTCGAGTGAATAAAGTTTAAACCGCATATAAGCAATTTGGCGAGCGACAAGACGAGCAACGTCGACAAGGACCCGCTGTCGCTCGGGAACTTGCACGACGACGCACACCTCATGAAAGCGATTGGGTTAAGCGACTAAGGTGATGAGCAACGTTTTCTAGAAATCCAAAATCCAAGCGACGCGACAAGCGACGGCGAGAAATTCGTCGCTCGTTGCTGACACTCGTCGCTTGTTGCTGTCACTCGACTCGTCGCTCGCTTAATCGCTTACGTCCGGTTGATGCACAATAAAGTGCATCAACTAACGTTTTGCGGGAGCGAAATACTCTCCTAGAAAAAAGGTGCCAATCAAGGTAAAAACTGTTCTTTATGCGAAGAAATAGCTGATCTTCACCAAAGACTGCTTTAGAGCGCTCTCTCGCCAAAAGTTATGTCCCTAGGAAAAGTAAGGAAAGCAATCAATCGTCCCGGGAGAGTGCATTCTTGTTTGGCACAGAAAAGCGGAAAGCGTTTTTTGGGCATATAATGAACCTAAAACATACAGGCCACAAGAACGTAGAATCCTTTTATCACAAGTGTGCAGTACGAGTTCACATACCTTACGCTTGTAACTCAGTTTGTGAATGCCACCCCTGCATCAAGTGCACCAGCAAGGAGTGACTTCTCATTAATGGACCTTGCAATTCAAAAGCCGATCCAGTATAAATCTTTCCGTCGTTGACGATATTCAGTTTCTACAGAGAAACATCGACAGGTGAAGCGGAACATGTGCTCGCATTTTTTTCTCTACAGTTGGCAAGTTGCTGCAGAGTATACGGTCTGGAGCACAGTTTTGGATTCATGTTTAAAGCTGAAATGGATAGATGTTGCTATTATTAAATATTTTTATATTTTCCAAACGGTGTACTTGCGTTTTACCACGTATATGCGAATACTGGGCTGTGGAAAGTGACCGCTTTTCCCTTCCCACTTTTTTATAGTTTGACCTAAATAAAATTGCACAACGTAATTAGTTTGTTTTTTGCTAATTTTCTAGTTTAGAAAACATGCGTTTACTTAAAATGGGCACTGCAAGACAAAAAGAAAAAAAAATATATAAAAAAATTCCTTTCTTTTAAGCACATCTTTTGGGCACTCTCGCAGACTCGCAGGATGATCTCGTATATGCGATCATCTTTCCAACAATGCAAAGTATATATGGAAGAATGATCGCTTATAATATAAGTGCGATAAAAGAGAATAAAGTAAAATTGCTTTCACTGTATTCTGACTCTAAAGGCCAGGGACGGCGCCAGGATCTTCATAATGGGGAGGCAGTGGGGAGGCGAACCAAATTGGGGGGGGGGGAGTCGCTCCGAGGTGCTGTCGCCTACGGGCTTATCGAAGATAGCATATGCGGTGTGCTCATTGAAAAGGGAAATGCGGAGACACGAGAAGGAAGAGGGGGTGGCGGGGGGGGGGGGGGGGGGGGGGTTTTCACAGCAGGGACGTCTGCCCCCTACGCTCAGACTTCCCAACCAGGTTTTGCTTCCCTTTTTGAGACAGTCCGGAATTCCCCATGACCTCGACTTTAACTAAGCTCCCCTTCGTTCACGTCTCCGGTCTCCGCTGAAGATAAGCACCACAGAGCGGAATACGGAGAGAAAAGCCAGCAGGCGTCACAAAGGGGAGCTGCTTTTTCAAAAGCGCTTGATAGCTTACTCGCCCGCGGTACGACTTCCAGTGGCTGGAAGTTAATAGAAAATAATAAATGAATAAATAAAAGGCATGAACGGCTCTAAAGTCTGGACACTCGTTACACTAGGTCTTCAAGCCGACGTCGTAGGTAATCATTGGTGTACAAAGCTGCTTCATCTTGGGGTGGCAGAAGAAATTTTAGGGGAGACGCCCGCCTCAGCAAGCATGCAAGTGTGGATCGTATGTGTACGGAAAAATTTAAGAACATTGCTGTTGATGTTGATAGAAAGTCGGCGGATGTTGATAGAAAGTCCGCAAATGCGGATTGGATGCGGATGCCCAAACCTATCCGCGCAGGGCTCTACTCATTTCCCGTCACAAATACAATTGACGCTTGGATATTTGTACCAACTAAAGCCTTTGATGTCATGAAAAGTGTTTGCAAGGCCGAGGACTTCATGATCGGTCGCTTTTGCTGTAGTTTTCCTAAACACTGAGATGGTTTTTTTCTACTGCAGTGCAAATTCGTAATACTCTGTAGGAACGAGTTGTCTTTTTACTGCAGCAGTTTTTAATGTAGCTGCTGCTGCTTCTTCTCGGATGGGGTCGGCTATGGTGACATCTGTTTTCTTTTTTGTAAAGTTTTTATAATGAGGCCAGGCAATTGGCAGCTCCAGTATTCACTTAGTCCTCTTAAGCCTCTAAAACCTTTCTCTTGTGGCAGTGGCGTAACTAGATATGACGGCGCCCATGGCAAATGAAATTTCGCTTCCCCCAAAATGGCAGCGCGTAGCCCCGCTGCCATATTTTTCCATCGGGCACATGTTGGGTGGACTCGGCTCGGCGCCCCCTCCCAAGTGGCGCCCGGGGCACTTGTACACCCCTGCCCACCCCTAGTTATGCCACTGCCTTGTGGTTCAATACCGTATCTGCTGCTTTTAGAGCGCAGCTCTTGGGTGCCCGTTTCCAGCTTGAGCGCCGTCGCAGTCACAGTCGCTGTAACCGCGCAGTGCATTATGGGTAAATTTCCCTGTTAAATCTATCGGAAAAATTTCCCCGCTGAATCTAGCGGAAAAATTTCCCCGCTAATTTAAGCGGAAAAATTTCCCCACTAATTTTAGCGAAAAATTTCCCCGCTAAAGCTAGCGGAAAAATTTCCCCGCTAAATCTGGCGGATAAATTTCCCCGCTAAATCTAGCGGATAAATTTCCCCACTAATTTTAGCGAAAAATTTCCCCGCTAAATCTGGCGGATAAATTTCCCCGCTAAATCTAGCGGATAAATTTCCCCGCTAAATCTAGCGGATAAATTTCACTGCTAAATCTAGCGGAAAACTTTCCCCGCTAAATTGAGCGGATAAATTTCCCCACTAAATCTAGCGGAAAAATTTCCCCGCTGAATCCAGCAGAAAAATTTCCCCTCTAAATCTAGCTGAAAAATTTCCCCGCTAAATCTAGCGGAAAAATTTCCCTGCTAAGTCTAGCGGAAAAAATTCCCCGCTAAATCTAGCGGAAAAATTTCCCCGCTAAATTTAGTTAAAAAATATCCCCGCTAAATTTAGCGGAAAAATTTCCCCGCTAAATCTAGCGGAAAAATTTAGTGGAAAATTTCCCCGCTAGATCTAGCGGGAAAATTTCCCCGCTAAATTTAGCAGGGAAATTTTTCTGCTAGATTTTGGTCACGTGACAGGGGGGGGGTCATGGACCTGGGAAGTCACGTGATCCCTCCCCTAGGTCACGTGACATCCCCAGGTCACGTGATCCCCTCCCGAGATCACGTGACCTCGGAGGGGGTCACGTGACCCTTTCCCCTATGTCACATGACCCCCCCCCCCCCCCCCCCCCCCCCGAGCACGTGGCCCTCAGTACCCTTCCCTCCTCCTCCTCAAGAGCTGCGCTCCAATTTGGCGTTACAGGGCTTTTTCCACACAGCCACTATTAATTAACAACCCCAGCGGTGTAGTGCCATATCATTGCAAGGTTATAAACAGCATCTTGCCATTGCTTTGTCCGATGCCATGTCCTATCATTTTGTTGCGGGTGATATTTTTCATTGAGGCTTCTACGTCCAAAGACCCCTTACACTAAGGCGGGTGTAATCTCGATGAACAGCCACCCATCCTTTTATTTATAGTCAAAGAACCTCTCCTGCTCTTGGCATCGTTGCAATAAAGCAGCTCAAGAGGCTGGAGGCTTTGTAAACAATAATACACTAAATAGGAAGTGTTTGGCACATGCTTCATTGAATTATTTAGATCTGCTAAAATCCTGATTAAACTGGGAAAAAACTTGACCAAGGGGTATGGACAAGTGAGAAAGTTTGAGAGCATGGGGAACCCCTCAGTTTCTAAATACCCGTAGCCGAATAATGTGCACGCTTCTTGACATTGACATGGTAAAGCTTTGCAGGAGCCTGCAGACTTCATAAACAGTAATGTGCATTTTGGCTCGCAGTGAGGCATCGAGAGGGTACTCTGGGTTACCCCGAGGTTCCTAGGAACCCAGTTTGAGAACCCACGCGTTGAGACACTGCTAAGCTTCCGCTCGGAATTTCTTCGCAAGTTCCGCCTTTGACTCCCCGCCGTGCCGACACTGCAGGTGCTGCCTCACTTCGTGATGGTCTACCTGGGGCACTTGCAAGGTCTGCCGGGTCTCTTCGTGGCGGGCATCTTCAGCGGAGCCCTCAGTACCGTCTCCTCGGCGGTCAACTCGCTGGCGGCCGTCATGCTTGAGGACTTTGTGCGTCCTTTCTGCATCAGCCCCAAGACCTACGACACGCACGCCCCTCTCATCGTCAAAGTTCTCGGTGGGTTGTTTACGTACAGACGTTTATGTACGGGCCACTTCTTCCGTGACACTTGTCTGATAGCATTGCTGCCTGGACATGTGTCCATGGAATAGAACTGTGTGATGCAATTTACGTGTGTATGGCGCCTGGAATGCATCTTCGGCCGGTCTGCTTAGCGTCCTATCTCGCCCAAACATCCAAAGCTGTCCTGAAGTGGCAACAAATCACGCCTTGCAAGCCGGAGTGTCACACTGTCATACATTACAATCTCGGCGGTCTGCCCTACGAGTCAAGAAGTACGAGCAAATGCGAGCGTTGCCGTCATTGCCAAGAAGAAACTCCTGCCTGCTGGAGCTTCCGTGGGCTGTCAAATTGGAGAGCGAACTGCAGCAGGGTGGGCATCTGCCACTTCCACTACTGCTGCCATGACACTGCCAGGATCGCAACTGGTGACGCAACACTTCCGTGGTGTCGTCGGGCGGAAATCGAGGAACCCCCAGTCGGAGATGCTTTCCAGGCACCACACACATGTTGCACGGTAACCGTCGCTCTGGTCCGGCGAAATGGCCCGCTTTAAAATACCGCACCTCGTGTAATTATACGCTCCGTGCGGGAACTATAGGGGGCGCTTTGAAAAACGCGAGTAGCGCCGCTAGGGGAGGAGCTGGCGTTCGACAGTGAGGCACGTTCGGCAGCCTGCGGCGCCTTTTCGCTTGCCAAGCTGTGGCGGCGAAAGCGCGCACGGACAAACTTTTGCTTTTTGAGCCGATACGTTGAGGGCAACGTTGTGCGAGTGCTGGCGCAGACCTAAGAAGGGCATTTAGTTGTTCTCTACTTCTTATATATTGAGTTTGAGTCGTTATTAGGGGTAATTTCCTTAGTTGCGGCCAAAAAAGGAGTTGGAGCAATTTTCTGAAAAGCAAGACGGCCGCCACCATAATTGCTCTGAGTGGGAAATTTATTTCGCTTGTCGCTGTAAATGTAGGACTGCTGGAACGATAATATTTGGAGGCGAGTGAGATATTCACTAAGTTTGTGCACGAAGTGTGCAAAGTTTTTTGAAGACAGCAGGTGTGAAAGTTATGTTTCTAACTAATAAAAAAATAACGCTGTACGGGATATCCAATATTGGACCCAAAAAGTTGTGTTATAACCGGGCTGTACAAAGTGCAGATTTGGGTACATAGCTGCTTGGACTTGACAGTAACATGACACAGCACTTATAACAAAAATAGGTGGCATAAGGAAACCAGATAGAAATTTGGTTTGGGCGGCGTAACTCAATGGGAGCCGGTTTTGACCATGAAAGGGCTGTCAAGAGAATACCACTCGTCATGGGAGGTGGAGACTTTACAGGTGGGAAGGGACTAGTGAACTGTACTTACAATTGAAACAACTTTACGAAAGGTGGTTCCAAAGCCGAGAAAACAAAGTTGTCGGCCAACACATGGTTTGGCCGTCAAAGGCTTTTGCAGTCAGCTGTTGTGTAGTAGCCTGTTGTGCGAGCTGCTGATTTTCGGCACACAGGTATTTTGACATGATCATAACTTGACACAACACTGATTATACCAAAAAGAGGTGGCACAGTGAAACCAGGTGGAAATTTAGTTTGGGCGGCATAAAGACTAAATGGGAACCGGTTTTGAGCATCAAAGGCTGTCAAGAGAATACCACTCATTGCGGGAGGTGCACACTTTACAGGTAGAAAGGGGCCAGTGGACGGTACACCCAGATCGAACAACTTTGCGATAGGTGGCTGTAAAACAAAGTATAAAAATTGTTGTCTACAAGACTCGGGGTGTCAGCGTTTCCACATCCAAAAGGACGCTGATCAAAAAACAAAGCACACCACATAAACCTCCATACTCAAACGTCGATTGTCCAGTAATTCCAAGTTTCATTGTAGTTTTCCTTGGATTCATATTTGTAATTTTTTTACCGTCCGAATCTTTCTTCATGAAGTACAGACTACGTGCCATACTGGTCCGGAATATCATCATCACGTACGATGGGGACGAAACATCTTTGGAGGGCATTCCTCCAACGAAATTGGCACTGCATACCCGCAAGTGTGGGATGGCATTTCAGTTCGTCCCATCGGCGCTAACACATGTAGGCGTTGCTGATACGAAAACAAACGCAGAGCGCAAAGCGGCAGTGTCAGCCGTGCCGACACAGTGGCAGACATGATCGGGAGACCACATTTCTCGTGTTGTAAGGCACGGGTTCATCATTGTCGCTGTCCCACAAAACATCGGCAAGGTGAAAAACTGAAAATTTGGCCCCATGAGATACGACGCATAACTATTGAAGTACTTAACGACGCAGCATCGGCAGCACTTCATGCTGTGAACCCAGCGCAACCGCACCGCTCAGACTTCAATGCATACCAACGTATGCGGCGTGGTTTCGATTTCGTTTTCTCTGGCGTTCTCAATGCCTACCTTCGGTAACAGCCGCGCGGCGGCGCGCCAGTCGCGTTGCACGGATTGTATAGTACAAAACGAGGTTTGTCTTATCTTGCAAACTCTGTTACCGTATAGCCGTATTCTACTCTTCTGTGGAGCACGGGATGGCATTCTGAGGCTTCCCAGCGGTGCCTTCTTTGAAACGGTCTATAGTTCAGTTGGGATGTGCGACGTTGGTTTAATTTTTGTGCCGGTTCCATTTCTCTATGCAGCGTTTTTCTTTGGTATCCTGTGTGTGCTACTCACTGGAGTGGTGGAGCAGCTGGGAGGTGTCCTGCAGGCGTCCTTCATAATCTTCGGCGTGGTCGGAGGTCCGCTGCTGGGTCTCTTTACACTCGGCGTCTTTAGCTCCAGGACAAACCAGGCGGTATGTTGTTCTTTCGTGGGCCTCCTCTTTGTTGTAGTATATTTATAGATGTTTCAGTGGATATTTTACTTAATAATAATTGACACTAGAGATTTTAGCTATAGTTTTTGCTTAATAGATATATTAATGTGATTGAACCCAGGGATCCTGGGTTCAATCCCTATTGCTGCCTGTTTCGATCTGGACGAGCATCGCACTGGCGTGCGGTTATGTATCACTGCTGTCTGGTGCATATTATGGGGGAACACCACCTTCAAGTGTCGGCTTTTAAACCAGTAGCTCAATATAGATGAAATTTTGGAGGATCTAATAATCTTCCTAAATGTACCGTATGAAGTTTCGTTTCCATAAGAAATTTTCTGATAAGCTACAGGAAGGGGTATACAGCTATTGATGTAGGCTGCCTCGCATAGCAACTAAATCTATTGCATAAAAGTGTGTCAAAACATTGAGCATTTCTAAGCTTTGGCCTCAACTTGAACACAGGAAAAGTGGGGCTATACATATTTTTCACCCTGACATCTGTGCACCTTCTATCCAAAATACCAATTTGAAATGTGTTCCAAATAATGGGGCATTTTCTCCTCATCAAAACCCATTTCTTGGCAATAAGAGCTTCATTTAAATAAAAAAAAAAATATCTAGCAGCATTCCTCAATAAATTTCAGTTAAGCATCCACAGCAAAGTACAAATTTGCCAATTTGTTGAAATGATAGGTTTTCTAAAACGAAAGTTGATGCAAAAAAGTTAAACTGAGAAAAACCTACTTGATGTTTTCACAACGGTACATTTGATTTTACCGATGGTGGTAGCAACTTTCAGTGTTCGCAACAAAGCAGACAGTCTGACGTGACATTCTTTAAACAAATGTCGGTTTTAGTTTGTTTCCAGTTCAATCAGGATGGGCTTTTTGATTCTTGTCCATGTGCAAGCTGGACTTTTGTGGGGTTCTTGCCCAAATAGTGTTTTCTCAAACAATAATGTTTAATGTACTTAAAAACTGTAAAGAAATGCCCTTTCCAACGAGAATATGGTCATCATTGTAGAGCGTACTGGTGCAGAGCTACAACAGTTCGAAAATAGAAAATGTCAGCGATTCACACTTGCAAAACGTATGATCTTGCAATGTTGGCTCACTGAAAATCTTTTATTTCTTCATAAATATTTCAGATATAGCAATGGAAATTTGCAGGAGTCTGCACTTTTAGTTGCCGAACCAATGCATAAAAATAAAAAAAAAAACAATTTTTTTTCTAAAAAATTGCAATTTTAAGGTAGTGTTCCTCAAAGACACCAGGATAGAGGTTGTACTACGCTGGATAAATTTCTCGTCTACAGTTGAGGCACCAGACGTCCAAAGTAAACATACACTCAACATTACATATAGGGTTCCGTGTTTTAGGATAGCTCCGAAAACCCCTCGCCGTTAAAAATTTGGTGAATTCGGATTTATCCGATAACTCCAAATTTTGCTGCACCAGTGTCCTCCCACCCCACCCATTGTTAAGAAACTCCAGGGGGAGTTTCTTAACAATGAAGAAAATACTTCTTTGGTAAAAGTGTTTTTTTTTTTTTTTGTAACATACTACTATAGCACACTACCTCGTCGTAGCTTGTTGAAGCAGTCAAAAGGTTGAGCACTTTGGGAACTGATAGTTTCCTCAGATCTGCATATTTTGTAATTGCTACGTCTTGCCTCTTCCTTCAGGGTGCACTGGCTGGTCTTTTTGCTGGACTCATCGTAGGATTCTGGGTGGGCTTTGGCGCCGTCATCTATGTTGGCCGACCTACGGTTCTTGAGCTGCTCGTTGATGGCTGTGGCGGTTCCAGCAACTCAACCGGGGCACTCGCCGATGCTACCACGCTGAGCAATATGACCGGAGCAGACTCGGTCACTGTCTGTATGGTGTCGGACAACATTACAGCCACGTGAGTCTTGGTCACTGCTGTCGATTGTTTAGTAAAGCTGCACAGTCGCCAAATTTTATGCATGTACAGGGTGTCCCCAGAAAACAAAGTTGACAGTGTTTTTTTCGCCGCAAAAATGAACTGCATTGCCTAACACTCGGCCTCCGCTCAAATGTAGCGCCAACGGTTTGTACCGGATGCCAAAGTTTCAGAGCTTGCCCTTGTCTTGTTAAAAAATTGTAAGCGATTTTAAGTAATTTTCAATGGGAAAATGGTTGCCGAGGAAGCCCTTGAATACGTGGATGTGAATGACGTCTGCTACGAGGGACGGGTCTCATTTTTCGTATTAATGTTTCAGGAAATCGCTGAATTTTTTAATAAAATGACTTAGTTCTGAAACTTTGGCATATGGTTTGGACTGTTAGTGCTACATTTTGGCTGAGGTTGATCATTAGGTAAGGCATATACTTTTTTTTTTTTTTGTTGGCAAAAATTTTTTTGCGGACCTGCTGCACTGTACTTTTTGCCATAATGTCTTCTGCAACAAAAAAAAAAAAAAAAACAGAAACGGGGAAAAAAAAAACAAAAAAAAAAAACAATGCAGCGTTTTTTAAACGTGGTGAGGTGTTGAGACTAAGAAGAGACTAGAAGAGACTAAAAAAAGAGTATACCTATTATACCGTAAGCACTTAAACTTGTAGGGCATCCAGTGCATCTCTCTTTGACACCGGTGCTATGCTTACATTGCCAAGCGATGGCAGAGACCTCTGCATTTCTCTACTTGTGATATTGGTGGCTTCGGGTATAAAGTCTTTTCAGGGTTGACGAATCTGCAGTTTGCAAGCTGCTTATCGCTGAGTCTGGACATCTGGCTTTCATGGCTCTTCGGATGATTCAGATTTGTAGGCAGAACAGAATATGTGCCACAGTGGCCCATAGAACCTTAAAACTATAGTAAAATAAACAGAAACGAAGCATCTCTGTAGCCAATCACTTTGACATATTGCATAGTCAAGAAAACTTTTGAAGTTGCGTCCTGTACTTCAAGGACACCAATTAAAGAGGATTTCGAGTCTTGATTCAGGTGAAGTAGTAGCAATCGAGACGCTTCAAAAACCCAAAGTGCACACTTAGTTTCTGCATGCCTGAAGATATTTTCAGCCTTTTTTTTCTACAGCTGTGAGGGTAGCAAAGCAGGAAAAGAAGGAACTAAGATAGGAGGGTATGGCTCTTTGCACTCTCTGCTTAGAGAGAAACATATTCAAACTTATTGGGTAGGAAAGGTGTAGGGGAGCGATTGTGAAATTAAAGGTGCACCGAAGAGGTTTTTGAGATAGTCATTTTATGGTGGTAACGAGACCTTTGAGCTAAAAGCATCCTAAAAATATAAAAATTACAGTCGTTCATGGGGCCCATTTCTTCGTTAGAAAAATGTTCAAGGGTCGCGGACATGGCCATTCTCAGGGCCAATTCTCTTAAGTAAAATGGTCGGCAAAGGTGCACGCACGCGGACGGTCAGTAAGGTTGTTCCAGATCCCAAGTTGCGCGTGCACGCGATGGTTCACAATCCGGCCTATGAAGCGTCTTGGGGGTGGTGCATCCTCGGTGCAGTCCATGTCCATGCACACACTCGCCCAGTTGATTGCACAAACAGTAAATAGTCACACCAACACAGGAACACAATAACAGCATACATCACATGGCAAGAACGGCAGGTTCAGATCACAGAAATGAGCGTCTTGTACACTCCGACTGGCCCAGACGACCATGACATCCAGAGTCCACATTCCCGAATGGGACGTTCTCGTGAGGGCTTTTGGGATGGGAAAGCCACCGTCGTCAGTATACGGCATGTGCAGTTTACTTTTCAGTCGTGAGCTAGGCTGACAAGCGCTGGACTAAGGCGCGTTGCGCATGAAGAGTAAATACCAACGTGATTGGGCTCGTACGCTCGTCGACGTTACGGCATGTCACGTCGACAAGGCAGCGTAATGAATACGAACTGCGACGGCCTGCAATGGCCACGTGGCGTAAGCTACCACTCGTTATAAAGAATGATTGATATCCATCCATCCGACGGAGTCTGGCAGACACATCACTCTGGAACCGGTGAAAAGCCAGGAAAAATTATAGTTTCTTGTTTTCAAAGTGAAATTCGAGTATTATGCTTTTTGCACCAGTAACATTTTGAGTCTTTGTCAAAATATAATCCACAGCATGCTCAAAAACTAGGTGTAATGATTAGTCGTAATCTCTTCGGGTCGAGAAAAAAAAAAACAAGTATGTGAGGGAAAAGATTTTGCATGATTTTTATTGCCGTGAGATCAGTCGGCAAAATAGTAATCTGAAACTAGATATAGATGTTAACTGGCACCTATTACACCTTATAACACTAAAATATAATATTTTCAGAAAGCACATCATGCACCTTTAAGTTCTTGTGAAAACCAAGTAATTTCGAGTATTTATATAACAACTATAAGTCTCATTCTGATTGAAACGTTCAGTTGCCAAGTACCTTAGAATTTGAATGTTAATTGTTGCGCTTGCTCTTTCGTTTGTGCTGCACTCATCACCAGTGGCCTGATGTGGAATAGAAGGTGCTGTCAGCTATTTGAGTCTTACTTCCTAAGCATGGTTTTGCACGGCTTTAATAAACATGGCATGTGAAGTGCGCAAACCCTTCATATAATACCTTTCTTCTGATGTGTGTCTATACGTCATTTGGGATCCCCCTTCCTTCTCCCTAGTGAAGATGTCAGAACAGAGCACTTCTCAGAAATCCCTTGTTAGAATGCTATGCTTCTAGCAAACTTTTAACTGGGTACTGTTTTTAGATATTTTAAAGTTCACTTAAGCGAAATTTACTGAAATGCATCCAACTAAAAAAAAAAAATATTCCATATTGTGGAACTGGTCACTGACCCTAACGCGAGAGTGGCTTGTTAATCTATCACAGCCTGTGCAAGCTTTGTGCTTAACAAAAGACAAGACTAGGAGGACATCAACATACAGTTGTCTACAAAATGAGTTGGCATGTACAGTGAAATCTGGTTACATCAGTCACTTGCAATACACCCTTGAGCTACTCAACTCGGGAAGGTGTAAAAGTCACTATGATTCCTATCGTGGGACATGTGCTACTATGGTGCTCAACCAGGCCTTTCCATCTTGATGAGTGATCTGAGTTAGTGAAGTATACAACTTGTAAGGTTTCTTTGTACTACTGCAAGTTTTATTCATTGGGGTAATTAAAGCTGGTTGATGGCAATGAGGTAAAAAACGTTCAGCCTTTCCACTCGTGAAGAAGGGAGTCCAGCAGAGCTGTACTCTATACACTGAACCAACGCGCACGCGCCCATTTCCCGCTTCATCTCGACCGACACGCCGCCGATCGTGGATACGTTTTTGGCGAACTAGTTTTTCGCACACAGCGCACGTGACGCCAAACTGGTAATCCACAAACTCCCTCCGGAACCTCGCCGTCACACCCGGGAACTGTTCAGCCGGCTTGGAGTGCAGTCGTCGCCGGGCCTCGCGCTTGCGCTTGGCCTTCGTGGCACGATCATCATCCATGGCACTGGCCCGCCGGCGCCCTTTACATCGCTGGTTCTGTTCTCGGCGGAGCCTTTCCAGGCGAGCGATGTGCTTTTCTTTGGCAAGGGAATCTGAAGCGCTCGACGCAGTGGGAGTCGAGGCGACAGCGGCTTTGCGGCGGTTATGGACCCATTCGCGCTGCTGCGTACGTCACCACTCCTTCCGCAGCAAGTCTTCTTGCCCCGAAAGGCCGTGCATCCGACCCATCCTAAGTCCAAGCCGAAACTGATAAGAGCGTAAGAAACAGCGCGCAAAACAGACGAGGACGAAGAAACGCTCGTGACGAGCGCACCCAACTTTCCATTCTTCTATGATAGATGGAAAGGTTGTCGCCATCTACGAGCGACGGCGGCATTTTAGCATCTGCCTAATAAAATTTTAGCAGTTGAACTGCCGGGACGCTGAAGACGTGTGCTCACTATGACGTCGCATTTTAACCATGCAGGAATGTGCTACCGCTGTACCGGCTGTCATACCAGTGGTACAGCGGCTTTGGCTGGCTGGTGGTTGTGGTCGTGGGACTCTTGGTGAGCCTGCTGATCGGAGACACAGACGCTGTAGACCATGACCACTTGAGCCCGGTCTATTTGTGGATGATAGGTGCCACCAACGGCAAAAGCCGCTCTTGGACTCTTGGTCGAGTGCGGAATTCTTCGGTCACCAGCTCTCAGGTGGGTTAAATAGAATTTACTGGGGAGTGGGGGGTCACCCATAGTTGGGAAGGCCCTTGTTTGATCTGAAAAAACGGTATAGGAGCAGTCAAAGGGTCTGGTGGAATTCCTCATTTTTAAAACGGCTACGCCACTCTCGCCAAGCCTGCTTTATGCCGGCTTCAGCACTACGCACCGACGCACATGCATAAGGCTTTCCCGCTTTGCTCCGGCTTTTGGAAGAGCTTGCTAATGTGTTGGGGTCCCTCAGTGGGCTCAGAAATTTGTTGTGATAAGCACTTAATGTGTCCTTGCCAAATTTTAAAAATCTTTCAAACAGGTTGTGGTTGGGCGCTTATTGTGACGTTGTATTTTACAGTAGGTCCCACGTTATCGGAGTCAACTTTAGTGTTGTCTATAAGTTGGTCGAACAGGCAGCGAGCTGTAATCGCACGCTGTGCAACTTGGACTGTTTGTGAAAATTAACTATTAATGTACCAGAATGTGCGACTTGACGGACTGTCAGGGCTTGAATGAAAAGTTATAATTAGCAATTTATACCTAGAATGTTCTAATTAGCCTTCTGAATATGCCCCTTATCTGGTACGTTGTAATTAAATTTGTTGCCAGTCGTCTAAAAATGCTTAAGAGTTGTCGGAAGTTGCAAAACTAAATCTCTCTCTGCGGTTCTCTCTAGCGGAGTTGCGCTGTCTAGAGTTTGCCATACTAAAAAGGGGGCAAAATAAGGGGGGAAAAAAGCGCGAAAAAGCGGCGCACCCAAGGAGACAGCTGGGTGTCGTGCACCTTTCTGTAACTGCATGACATTTAGATAACATGGTTCTATCAGATTGGTGGTGCTGTGTGACCTTTAGATAACATGGTTCCATCAGATTGGTGGTGGTGTGTTACTAGGGAGTTTTAGCAAGTCGTTTCCACACGAACGGTTCGCCCTCGAACGCATCCGCAACACCACTGCGCATCCGCGTGCGAGTCGTTCGGGGAGTTGGGAGGCTCTTCTCGTTCGTTTCTCCCATTCCGGACGCTGGAGTCGTCACCGCAACGCAGCCAGCACCGTTCACAACTCAAGTAAAAAAAAGATGGCGATCGGTTCGGCGACCGCCTTCGCCGACCCAACCGAGCGTTAGGCTTAGGACAGCGGGAGGCGATTTGTCGTCCTGTTTAAGTCTGCTTCATTTGAGAGGTTGAACCAAATCATTTCGAGGACTGCTACAATGGTAAGCGATCGTGAATGCTGTAAACTGCGCACGCTAGTAAATTTTTGCGATCTGCGGGCAGACTAGCTGCCGTGGCGACCGCGAGCAGACGAAATGATTTGGTTCGACGGCACACAACGTGAACGATCGTTCAAGTTGAAGATGACGGAGACACACCACATACCTTTACGGTCGTTCACGCTTTTTGCTCTATCTAGCTTCGCATTTCTTGAAATTCCGACCGGCAAATGTTACGTTGGCCGTCTTGTTTACATCAGTCGTACGCCGGAAACACGAACCGCCACCACGGTGTCCGCCACCGTCGCCACTGATTTACACGTTGCAGAATGTTTCACATGTTTACTAGAAGATGGCGCCACCGTTAAGCATGATCATCATCATCGTTTACACGGTCGCACCACTTTCACGATTCGCTAAAGTCTGTCAAATTTGACGTACGGTTTCACGGAACGGACCAGCTGTACCGTTCATGATTTCGGAACCGTGTGCTTGAAAAACGACTTGCTAAAACTCCCTAGTATGTCATGTTGATTTGCTTCCGACTGCTCCTACGGAGGCTAATGTCGCTTCTGTGTCGGACTTCTGTCGCTTCTGGGTCAAACTTCTGTTGCTTCTCGGTCAGACCTTTGTCGCTCTTTTGCACTTCGGTTTCGGTATCGTAATCTCATCGTGGAATCGTGTCAAGGGAATGTCGCAGAGCAGAATTTAGTCATCCGATTTCTAACCACAGATGCAGCATATTTTGATGACTAGCAGCAAGGCTCTCACTGGAACGTCCCAGCTAAGGTGGATATTACAAAGTTTATTAGTGGGGTTTAAGTATTAATTTGCAAATCATTCCTTATAATCGCTACTTGGCACCTGCTGCAGGCAATAACATTATCCCTAAGGAATAACCTTTTTTTTTTAAGCCGCAAAAATAATTTTTAGTCTTCGGTGAAACACCCTGTATTAAGGTATTACAAGGGGGGTAGTGCACCCGAACATAAAAAGAAAACTTTAAAAGAAACCATCTCCGATTCTTCAGTGCCTCTGGCATTCGTTTTGTGTTCATAGTGCTATATGGTTAGTGCTGGAGAGGCACAGAGGGAGAAAGCAGGACTAACTAGCTGCTAGCTGTTTGAGATGCTCGCTGTTATAATGACTGCCTGATGCTGCTTGTTTGCAGATACCCATGGCAGTGGTCAAAGAATAGTTACTGTTCCTGCATCGCTCCAATTGTGAGGGAGAGCTGCAAGCTTCATGGTCTCCAGCTGTTCATCGTGAATAGATTGCACTCTTAATTGTTCTTTCTTTTTGTTAAGCTTGGACATTTTTTTATTTTAGTGCCTTGAAACTTGCCATACAACGTTTGTGTTTGAGAAAGCATCCACATTATTTATGGCTAGTGTTCCTGACCTTCTTTTTTTATCTGAGAATGTCTTAAGAGTTTGTGTAGCATGATTTGTTCTCTTTGGCAGCTTTTTATATTTTTTCCACTGGCTTCATACATTGACCTCTGGATTGAAAGTGTGTGAGGTGTGTGCCTTGGGTGTATCGATCAGACATTTTGTGGAGTGCAGTCATCAGTGCCAGTTTGACTGGAATGCTGCCCTGAATCGAGTCGATCTGTGCTTTTGTTGCAAGGGTTTTCTCAGAGTTCAGCCCAATCCTATTAGTAGCCGGGTGGTCAGCAGTGTTCAAGTGTCATGGTGCACTCCTGGACTGTGATTCAGCTTCGCTGACAGCATGTGTGTAATACCCAGCTTCCCTAGGCCAACATTTTTCCACTTCTGCCTGTAGACATGGCACAGATTGGCAAGCCTCGTGGCACCAGAGTGTCTGCAAATGAACCAAAAAGAGGCAAATTTGTCGACAAGAGTTATTCCTAGGTTGTTAACAATCTTTTGCAGGTCAACCAGAAGCACCCTTCAGATGTTCGTTTACGGAGAATAGGCCATGATGGAAAAAGATAGATTTCGGAAAAATAGGGGAGATTGGTGTAGACTTGAGCTCCTGTGCACTGCCACTAGCCTGTGTGGTGTTGGGACGTTTGCACTGACGAGAAGTCTTCCAAAGCAGCTGCGTAGAAGAGAATATTGTGAACACAGTTTTGTCTCTAAAGTGCTTCAGTTATTCTCAGTTGTTCATCCGAAATATTATGGCCAGACCGTCCGTGTGATCGATTCACTCTGTGAAAGCTTTGTTGAATGGACCTAGACAAAGATGCCCTTTCTTGTTGCTTTAGCGATTGCTTTTGCATCTCAAGGGTGGACTTGCAAGCTGTACCTCAGAACATCATGTTACCAGCTACTGTATTGCAATGATGCACTCTTGGGCCCTATAATTATTAGCAGTGCTACAAACATGCATTGGTTTTATAAAGCATCATTGCATTCATAGAGGTATTTTATTAAAAAATCATGGAATCATCTGCCTGAGTGGAAGCCATTGGACCTTTATAGAGATGACAACCCAATGCAACAAGTGTACACTTGTTGCTTGGTCAAATGCAGTAAAAAGAAAATACCTGCCGAGATAAAACAAATTGTACACCTTGTGTTTGTGGCACTCCGGCGTGCTAAGTGATGTGTGCGGGTTGTGTCGTCAGCTGTGAATTAATTTATTTTTAACATTCCACAAGATTTGTTGTGTTGATTACATTTTTTGTGGGACTGGATTTCATAAGGGTAAAAAAAAATTGTACATACAATGTCAAGCTTTTTTTTTTCTTTCAATTCCTGCTTGATGTTTTGTTTTTTTTCTATCAAGGTTTGTGTTATGTTTCATTTATATTTTCTAGCATGTGATTCAGAATGTTGAGAAGTTGTGGTGTTTTTTATTGGGAAGTGTGCTCAAGGGGCATGTTTTTGTTTCAGTATTTATGATACAACAAAGAATGTCACAGGTTCCCTCTGTTCGTATTTGGATACCAACTTTTAAAGTGTGCAATAACTTTGACTGGCTTAACTGAGCTACTAGTTTATGATGCATGTGTTAATTTTTAATTGTTTTGTTTGTCAGTTTTTTTTTATCTGGCATAAAATCCTCTGGTGCACAGCTTGTGTAATATAAAGTGCCATGAAGGAAAATATTTGCCATATGACTTGCACATATGATATATTGTTGCACTGAAATTGAGGTGTGCATTTTTTGGTTTGGCAGTGATCTATTTTTGAGGGGTATTGAGTATTTGCATCCTAAGAAGGAAGAAGCATTCTTTTACAAAATGGTATCTACAAGTTCTGTCTGCATGTGGTTCTGCAGGGAACCTTTGCGGCAGGCAATTTTAAGCAACCTCAGTTTATGCATGATCAACGTGGGAACATTTACATCCTGTTGTGATAGCCCAATGAGATGGGCCATTTGGTTTGGGTACAGGAAAACAAATTTAGCGAGGCTGAATCCGTCTCGACATCCTGCGATACCTTGTTAAAGCCGAAGTGCAATTAAAGAATGGCCCACCATCGAGCATGCTGTGCACATCAATCTCTTCTAACGGACCACACACATTGGAGTCTTTCTCGAAGAAGAATTCCTGGAGGCCTGGGAATGGCAACAAATGTTCTGCCAAGACTCCAGCTTTTTCCCGAACATAAAGCTGAAGATGGCACTGTCTTCCTCAGCTCAGCTTTTCTCTTCTTGTGGTCTCTTTTTTAAGTTCTTCTTACAAGCTTCTGTTCCTCTGTGCTTTGTTTACACTCTTGGAGTCCAGAATGTTATAAATTGCAGTGAACAGTCTGCTAAGGCTTACCTTCTTTGGCTTTTCCCTGAACGAAGCACTGAGGACACCACAGCTTTCTTCAGCTCTGTTATCATGGTGTCTTTGAGGTAATTCCAACAAGTTAATTCCAACAAGCTTCTGCTACCTAGCTGTGCTTTATTTGCTCACCCAGAGTTGAGAATATTTGGAAGCGCAGTGGATGTTCTAAGGTGTAGTGTCTTCATCTTTCTCCAAATGTAGAGCTTAACATAATGCAGGGGGGCTATGTTGCGCTTTTTGCACTCCCACCAGACTAAGGAGAGGGAAGTGATGTCAACGACACAGCAAACGCAGATGGGGTGTTGATTTCGTTTTCTTCTGTCAACATCCAATCTGCGTTTGCTGCGTTGTTGACGTCACTTCCCTCCTCCAAGTCTCCTGGGAGTGCAAAAAGCGCAACATAGCATCCCAGCCTTCAGCACGGCCCTTTTCGTGGTCTCTTTTCAAAAGTTCTTCCTTCAAGCTAGGTGTTGCACCTCTGTGCTTTGTATGCACAGGGGGAGTTCAAAATATTTGTCTCGGCATGCCACCGAACAAATTCAAATTGGTAGGTATGATAGAGATTCCGGAAAACCTTAAGATTCGTCAAATATGTGTTCCAAGCACTTCATAAAAAAAAAAAAAAAAATTGTAATGCTTTTAGTCATCTTATTAGACGTCAAATATCCGTACGGGACCATGAAGGCAATTTAATTTTATTAAAAAAGGTGTTTTCGGAAGCATTGGGGTCCTGGCATGCCACAAAAGTTTTTCTAGAACGTTGCGACTCTTTATTTCTGTACCTGCAAATAAATTTGGGAAACCGAAACAAACATTCAGATTTCTTCCCTTTTTCGCCTCTGGAAAGAGAAGTGACGTCAAGGAGCACTGTCGGCATCGGTAGGATGTAGTGCACACTCGGTGTGGTTCGCTCTAGTACACGCAGGGGGGTAAAGGTGGGTGAGGAGGAGTGGCAAATCCCGTGCGCCGACACCCGGGGTCCCGAGTGAAAGATCGGTAAAGACTCGGAGCACTGATCGTGCGCGACCGAAAGCGTCGCTGTGGTCGGCCTTACACGATTGGCCGAACGCTGACTATGACGTCGGAAAGGGGATTTATCATCGAAGGAAATAAAAGGAATGAAAGAACTTCAATTTTGACGGTGTTTGCATTGTTCCTTTGAGAGTGCAATGATTTCAAGCTTCCACCATGCTATTTACAAACACCATCGAACTTGTTGTTCGCAAGGTAATGACGTCACAAGGGGGGAACCATAGGAAGGCGCCAGCAAAACATCTCGCCGCTAATTATTACCGCGCCTGTTTGCTCGATTGGTGCGGCACCCAAACTTCTGTTCGGGCTAGAACTTGGTCAACAGTATCTGAGACGTGCCTGACATCCATTTCAATCGTCGAATAAAACTTCGAAACTGCCTTCATGGTCAAATTTTGTATTCGCCTCGACACGCATCGTACGTGCAATATCTGAATTTTATATGCCCCTCTGCATGAGTAAAGCGCGATCCAAACCAACGCTTCTTTTTGCGCCTGTAGGTCGTGCGGCTGCGGATGTGACGCATTTTCGTGACGTCGCGCCGCTTCTTCGCTCCTTCCGGGCGCGCACGAAGAAGTTGGTTGATTTCAACTTCTTTCTCAAGCCGCACAAAAAAGCGCGGTGACGTAGCAGGCCGCGCCTGTGTCCCGGCCAATCGGTGGAGGGCAAGTTCCGGCTCCGCGTTTCTCGCCGTCTGGCTGCCCTCTCCTCCCCCCCCCCCCCCCCCCCCTTTTATTCTCTTCCAACATGACAACGCGATCTCTCTCCCTCTCTCTTTCTCTCGCCGGCCAGTCTGTCGCTTAGTGATGGGACGAATCTTTATCCGAATCGAGATTCGGAGACGAATCTGAAGATTCGGAAAGATTCGGAAAAGTAGCCGAATCTCAAGCGATTCGGAAAAGTTCGGAAAGATTCGGAGCGTTGCCATGGTTGCCAAATCACGTTGATGTGTGTTTCAACTTTTCGTGATATTAAATTAAATAAATTCTACGAAGTGCACGAAATAATACTGTAATATAATATTAGAGTAATAAATAATATGTTCCGCTTTGTTAATATTATTTTGGATGTTTATCGAGAACGGTAGCCTAGCCAGACATCGCGGAAAAATTGGTTTCGGTTCCGGATCACGACCCAAATAGGCATGTTGGTGCACGCACGTGGAAACACATGCGCATGTTTTCATCGCCGCAAGAGATCGATGCAGTACATGCTGTTCGGTACAGACACATTTCGTGCCCATAATTACTATCGCAGTGGCACACACCACATAAGTGAGTATGTTCAATTCGATTATCTCCAACGAGTGCCCACTGAGGTATTTCCATTGGAACACGGGAAACAATCTGAAACTCCTGGTTAATGCAGGCTTTCCGATTTAGTGTTTGTTTCCGAACAATGAAGTTGTGTTGGACACCCCTGGGTTGTGTTTCTTTTTTATCAAATAAAGTTCATGTACACAAAACTTGCTGCCGAGTACGGAGAAACGACAGTTTTTCTTTGCCACCGGTACCAGTACGCGGCCTAAGTTGTGACGAGCAACATTCATCTCGCTCTCGCGCCTTACAGGTACTGACATACGCAGCTCTAGAGAAGGAGAGGAATAATTTCCTTGCCTGAATATATATTTATTGTGAGTTGCGCCAAATTACATATAATACACAGCGTTTCGCTACATTTCACCGATCACCGCGAAACCGCACAGAAAGCGAGACCGTGCATTGGTTAGGCCTACGTCAACCACATCGATCAGCTCAGCTGGACCTGGGCGCGTGCCAGGGTTTACAATGACAGTACAGTACATACCATACGTTGAAATAAACAAGACGATATCTGGTTATATGCAGGAACAGTATTTAAGAAGCGCACAACTGACCGCATACGCGAGGTTTACGACAACCTTCATGCTGCCGCCTGCATCCAGCGGCGAATCTGACGAATCTCCGAATCTGACGAATATTCGTCGCGAAAAGTTCGGAAATTTCCGAATCTGTCCGAATCCGAATCTCCGGTGATTCGTCCCATCACTACTGTCGCTGTTGCACTTTGCTTGTGCGCTCGTGCCTGCGTGCGCGCGTGCGCCCCCGCCCGTAGCTGGCCCGTCCAAACCAAAGCGCACGCTTCTGACTCATGGTGAATTCCACTCGTAGATCTGGAGCGCTTTCCAAAATCCGCGAGGGAGGCAAAATTCCGCTCCGTGGGACCCGCTCCGTATCGACGAGGGGAAGATAAACTTGCATTTTTGGAGCGACCTCCCCCACACCCCTCCCCACCCCTTCTCCTTCCGCCGTTCAAAATGGCCGCTGCTCGAACTTGACCAGCCCACCAACGCCTCAGCCGGCTGATCTTTCCGACGACCAGTGACGACTGTCACTGCTTAGCTGTAGAACTAACACGCGACACAGGCCGGGCGGAATTATACGTACCGCGGCGCCCATGTCACAAATAGCGAAGACGTCCGCGTTCGGCACCGTCACATACCTTTCGGCCGCCTCGAAGCGGCGGGGCACGGACAGCGATTGCCAGCGGTGGAGTTCAGATTGCTAGTACGACTTTAATAAACACAGAGGTAACAAACCATCACTTGCGCGGTCGTTGCCTAACCACATCTTGCTTTATTTCACGGGAAAACGCCGATGGAATGCAGTGTAAAAAGGTAAACAATCACTGGCTGCAGAATGAATAGGCCTAACCTTGCGTCTGCCTCCGGCTTTTCTGTCGTTCTTTTTTTCGTTCTTCCTCGGTGATCACAGATGTCAGCGCTTACGATTTGCCACGCTCCACATTCCCGGCTTTTTATCCCTGATCTACGCGAGGTAGAAGCGTTCGAGCCGTCACAGTCCAGAGTAAACAACCGACGCACCCGAACAGATCCAACTCCACCGACCGGCCCGCCGATCTCTCCAACCTCGCCGCGCATGCGCACCGCCGATTTAGACGGAAATCACGTGGGCCGCTCTGTCAATTTCCGGAGAGATCTGTGAAACCCCGCAGAGCAAGTTCGGCGGAGTTTGGGGCGCTCCGTGGAGCGGGCGCTGCCAGAGATCTACGAGCGGAAGATGACCAACTTGAGCCAGATCTGCGAGCGGAATATGCGCGCTCCAAATGGAGCGCTTTTGGAGCGCTCAAGATCTGCGAGCGGAATTCACCATCAGAAAGCGCGCCCGGAAACAGCAAAAACGACGCGGAATGCGTCACATCCGCAGCCGCACGACCTACAGGCAGCCGAGTGCAGCTGTAGCCTCCACCATGGTAAGGAAAAACTAGCGCCACGAGGCGCTAGTGGCAGGAAGGCGAACATACGTCTGGTCGGAGATTAAAATTGGTCTCGAAAGGCTGCCAGATGGCGCCACCACTGCCGTTGGCGTCATAGAGTTATTATAATGTACACTAGAGGTTCAACTGGCGCTAGTGTGCTGCTGCAAATTGAAGCAGACAGCAACCAGTCCGAAATTGACTTCCGGTAATGCATTGCTATGGGAAAAAGCGAGTGCATTTTCTCTCTGCACTCGATTATAAGAGCAAATATCACGAATAATTCGTACGTACTAGGTAGCTGGGAACTTTTCTCAGTCACGCAGACGAAATAATTGGTCAGTTACAGAGTTTTCATTTGAAATTCGTGGCACGAAAAACGATGCTAAAACTACTTCGTACGTGTATTTATGTGCACTGTCGGACACTGTTAGCGCGAACACGGCGTCGGTACTTTTCAACATGAGGGACATACGTGCCAAACGAACGAAGGACATGTGGAAAACCAAGAGAGACGGCAAGAACTACACAGTAACACTGGATAAGTAACTCTGTGCATGCAGACGATCAAATATATTGA